AGAAAGCAGAAAGCAGAAAGCAGACAGGCAGAAAGCAGAAAGCAGAAAGCAGACAGGCAGAAAGCAGAAAGCAGAAAGCAGGCATCAGACAGGTAATCGCTGACCCGATCCGACGCCGGCATCACCGAACGCTGAACCGCCCGGCCCAACGCCGACCAGAGAAACAGCCATCTCACCCGTTGACCGCCGGAGCCACGCTAGAATCAAGCAGGCGCCGCCGGACGCGTGCCCCCGAACCTGCGACATGCGGCCGCCCTCGTGCCTGGAAACGCTCAGGAGCCCCCCCGAAATGCCCAGCCGCTCCGTGAGCCCCCTGGTGCCCAAGCCCGCCGCGCAGGCACCGCCCCCGAAACAGCGGCTGTCGTCCATGAACTCCGTGGGCTCGGCCCACCTGGCCCACCAGCGCAGCATGTCCATCGTCAGCCTGGAGTCGCCGCGCAACTCCATCGTGTCCGTGGAGGACTTCTTCGTCAAGCCCACGCGCAACAACAGCAGCTCCAGCCTCGCGTCGTTGGGCGTCGCGGGCTCGCCCTGGGACCTGCCCAGAGACGCCGGCATGGCCGCCTCCCGGCTCGCCAAACCCAAGCCGCGGGGCTGCGCCATCGCGTCCGACGACGAGTCGTCCGAGCCCGAGCACCTGCTAGCGCGCTCGTTCGCGTGGCGCCGGCGCCGCTCCAGCGACAAGGTGCACAAGCCCGACTTCTTCTTGAGCTTCAAGAACAACTTCAAGTTCAAGTGCGACAGCCACAAGCCCAAGGCGCCGCCCAGCTCGGCCAAGCTTGAGGATCTGATGCCGTCGCCGCTCTCGGCGGCCGTGGACGCGTGCTCGCACCACGCACCGTCGCTGTTTGGCAGTCTCGACGGCGACTCGCTCCCGCCGCCCGCACGGCCGCCGCTGACGCCGACGGCCAAGAAGGTGCGCTCGTCGTCGATGACGCAGTCGATGTTCCTCAAGCGCAAGTTGCTCCTCTCCAAGGACATCCAGCTCGAGCTCCTCTCGAGCCACGCGGCCACCACCGCGGCGTACCCGGGCCACGGCAGCAGCCACCCGGTGGAGGTGCGGGCGCCGAGCCACTTCCTCGCGCAGCTGGCCCCGTATGGCGCGGCGCCCCAGCTCCCGTCGGCGCCACACGCCCCACCGGCGCTGCAACCTTCCGCCGCGGCGGCGCCGGCACTGCCCCCGGAGCAGACCCTCCGCCAGAAGAACAGGCTCATCTCCGAGCTCAACCGCAAGTGGAACCGCGCAATGTACGTGCCGGGGTTGGACGACTACGCGGCACCCGACATGGTTTCCGCGGACCTCCCCGCACGGCGCATGAAGAAAAGAGGCAGGTCGGACCTGTCCTCCAGCGCCGACAGCGTTGCCACCAGCAACTAACCGCACTCGTTTCTACGCACCCATACATACCAATCTCATGCATACTTTCGCTCTATATCCCCTGTGCCGCGGGCCGGGGCCCTGCCCTATAGCAAGACGTCGTCGTCCCCGTGGGCCGTCAACTCCTCGAAGAAGGGCATTTGCAAGAGCTGGCTGGCGCTGAGCCGCTTGCTGGCGTCCATGCTCAAGCAGCCGTAGAGCAACTGCAACAAGTGCTTGAGGTCGCTGTACTCATCCATGAGCCGGCGGTGCTCGGCGCGCATTGCGGCCGGGGCGCCCTCCGCGTCGGCAAGCACGGGCTTGGCGAGGGTATGCGACTCCTTGTCGAGGAACTTCAACGTGTCGTATATCACGCTGTCAGGCGGCAAGCAGCCGTTCTCGTCCTCGTGGGTCAACACGGACACCAAGAGCCTGACCAAGTTCCCGTTGAACGAGGCCATCTGCGCGTTGGGCGCGTTCAACTCGAGGCCGCAGCCATGCAACTCGGCGCACTTCAGCAACTTGTCCACGCCGAAAACAAGGATGAGCTCCACCAAGGCGTCGATGTCGTCCGGGGAGTTGAAGAGCGGGAATTTCCTCGCGAGCAAGGACAAGGCGATGATGCCCGCGGACCACACGTCGATCTTGGTGGACTGGTTGGTGCACTTGAAGAGGACCTCCGGCGCGCGGAAGCCGCGGGTCCCCGCCCGGTTGGCCCGCCTCGGGGGCCGCTGGTCGACCTTGGGGTACGCGGCCTTGATGTTGAGGCGTTTCAGGCGCGTCTTGTGCAGCGCGGGGCGGTCCTTCAAGAGACACGGGCAGCTGTTGGCGCTGGCCGAGGGCGCGCACGCAGGCATCTTCTCGGCCAAGCCGAAGTCCACCAAGACGCCCTTGCCCTTGAACGGGTCGTAGAGGAAGTTGGTGGGCTTCAAGTCGCGGTGGATGATGGCCTTGCTGTGCATGAACTCCAAGCCCTGGAGCAACTCCCACATGTAGTTCTTGATGCCCTTCACCGGGAGGTCGCGGTAGAAGTCGCGGAAGTCCGCGTGCTGGTAGTACGGCAAGATGGCGAGCACCTGGTCCTGGTGGCGCAAGATGTCGAGCAACGGCGCCACGTGCGCGTTGCCGCTCAACATGAAGAGGAGCTGGAGCTCGTTGTGGATCCGGTTGGGCGACAGCGTCACGTAGATCTGCTTCAACGCCACGAGCGGCCGCTTCTTCTGCTCGCGCCGCCGCGCCGCCGCGGCCTGCTTGAGCGGCGGCGACTTCCAGAGCTGCGAGCCGAGCATCACCGCGCCGTCCATGGCCTCGGCCTTGTACACGGTGGAGAACGTGCCCTCGCCGATCTTGTCGAGGAGCCGGTACCGCTCCGCCAACACGGGGAAGTTCTCCTCCAACCGGCTCATTTCCTCGAGCACCTCGAGTGGCACGTCGTCGTCGCCGGCAAGGCCCGCGTCTTCCTGAGCGGCATGTTCCTGAGCGGCATGTTCCTGAGCGGCATGTTCCTGGGCGGTGTTTTCCTGGGCGGCGTCTTGCTGGGCGGCGTCTTGCTGGGCGGTTCTGGCCGTGCCCGGCGGCGTGTGCTCGCGCGAAGCGGCCGTCCGCAAGTTGTGGTCCCGGATGAACGGCGGCGCGCCGTGCGCCACGCGGCCCGCCGAGGCGACGTGGCCGGGGCGCGCCAGCTTGGCGGCAGACTCAAAAAAGGGATCGCTGGCGGAGCTCGGGCGCTTGCGGAAAAGCTCGTTTTCAAGGTCACGCACCTTATCGTCGAGCAGGGCGGCCGGCGCGGGGGCCGGAAGGGCGGCGGTTTCCGGGAGCGTGCCGCGGCCGCGGAGCGCCCGGAACGTGGGCCCGATGGAATCCATGGGGGCAGGCTCGGGTGGGCGGCTGTGTTTGTGGGCGGCTGCTGCTTCGCTTAGAGCGGCGCGGTGTTTTTGTGTGTTTTGCGGGGTTTGCTTTGCGTCACGTGGTGCCGCCGTGGTGTTGCGGCGTGTTTGTGGTGTTTAGGGGTGTGTTTCGGTGTTTTGGGGGGTGGTTTTGTCGTGTTTTGTGGGGTGGTTTTGTAGGGCCTGGAGATGATGAAGTAGTTTGCAGTTGATCCAGGGCGGCGCGTGCCAAACGGTGGGCCGGGCGCGCTTTTTTATTTTATTTTATTTTATTTTTTTGACTAGTGCACTGAGCTTGCCCTGGGCCGGGCGCGTGTCTGGGTGCGGCGCTGGGGCCAAGGCGCCACTGGGGTGCCAGGCTGAGGATCCCAGAAAGGGCGGGGCCGCGAATGCGGTGATTGTCAGGTGAGGGAACAGGACGTCTTGCGAGGCCTGCCTTTTTGTTTTGATTTTTGTTTATTGGACTTTGTTCTTTTTTGTGGTTTGCTCGTGGCGTTGTGGCGTTGTGGTTTGTTTGTTTTGTTTGTTTTGTATGGGATGTTTTTGTTTGGGGTGTTTAGGTGGAAGTGGCCGAAAGCTGGCTGTAGGCGTTGGGGCCATGCGCCGTCGTGGGCCGGGCCGCGGGGCCGCGCAGTACGGGGCCAGCCTCTTTTTGGTGGCCCGTCGCTAGGACCGCTGTTCGTATTCTACTTTTATATTCTACTTTCATTTGGACGCGACTTTCGTCTGCGAGTAGTTTTGCTTACGAGGTGGTTTCGTATACGAGGTGGTTTCGTATACTTTGTCTTTCTCTGGATGCTCTCCATATAGGCTTTCTCCTTTTCCTGATTATTCAAATCGAGTGTTCTATTGCGATGCTTCCACTTGATGGTCTCATCTAGTATAGTTCCACCTGATACTTTCATCATGCTTTATGTGATATTCTCATTGGGGAGCTTTGGCCCACAGAATTCGTTGTGATGCTTTAGTTCAGACACATTGGTTCAGATAATTTATTCATATGCTATTCAGATATACCAGTCAGAAACTCCCACCTAATACTCCCACCTAATACTCTCAGCTGATACTCTCTGCTGATACTCTCAGCTGATACTCTCACCTAATACTCACCTGATATTCCCACCTGATGCTCTCACCTGATACTCTATAATTTACGTTCAGATACTCCTACTCACACACTTTAAATAATTTGACCCTACTACTCTAGCGCAGACACCTTTTTATCTCATCGGTACCCTCATTCCTATGCGTCTTCTGTGTATTGGGTACTCCCTCCATTTTGGTTCTGTCATTTCGACGCCCACAAATCGGTACCCTCTTTACCTACATGATTCGCATGCAGAAGTCATCGAAATACTTGATCCTCATCTGCTGCTCCCTTCATCCTGCCTCCCACTTGTTCTGATGCTAATGTAATCTGTCTACTTGCTTCTATCCCTACTCTCGCTTCAAAAACATTCTTCAATCTTGATACGTTATGCTTGTTTTTAAATGTGGTTTTCTTCTCGGAGCCTTCTTGTTGCTTCCCATTTTTTTCCCGCTTGATTGTTCATTTGCGCCACCGGTCGGCCATCCTTCATCTCCTTCGTTTCTCGCACTTCTGGGGATTCTCGGCCCTGGCCCTAAATTTGCACCCAAATACAGTTCCAGACAAATCCAACACCCACCCATCGCACCACAAAAGTTACTTCAAAGCCCCGGAATTTGGCAGCCGTCATTCTTACAACATTGTAATCATATGATACCAGATGGAGCCAACTCGACCTTCGGGGGACTTTTCCCAACAGTCCCCACCGCCTTAGGCTGGCGTCCTGCAGACAGCGCTCGTTCCATGGCGGGTGCTGCTCCATCAACACCGACTTCCCAGATTCTTTCTTTATTTTCGTGAAAAAGCATTTTGGACTGAATCATCAGTTTTTTCTTGCTTAGGATCCACGAATAGCACAACCAAGCCAGGCGCCTGTCGTCTCCGTGCGCCTGATCGCTCAGACACCTTATATATTGTCCTGGGTGCCCCGGATATATTGCCAAGACTCGTCATACTATCCATACACTGACCCGAAGCTTATCCAGAAAACATGAATTATATGTGCATCCATTAAATTTCCATCTGCCGGTATCTTTCCTCCCTCTTGCCCAAATGCCCCAGCTACAGATGATAATAACCACCATAGAATACATATCACATCCTTAGCAAGACGCACAAACCACGCTCCACCCTTCATGGCCCAAATTCACAACCAAATTACACCACATCCACCCACCGCCATCAAAACACCCCTCAAGCTCAAAAAAGGCGTCTGCGCCAGTGTCCTGTTCACCAACAGAGCCCTAAAGCAGAGGGCCGCGACATGCCAGCCGGCGCCGCGACATTGTCTCCCGCCTATTGGACAAATGAGAACACGACATTCTCGTGAGAACCGCACGCGAAAAAAAAACCTCAAAATTTTCCGACATCCAGCTCCTCCTCTTATTTCTTCTTTACTTCGATTCGATGTTCCCGAGGTCGTCAATTGTCTCTGGCCCCAGGCCCGTGGTGCCGCTCCAGAGCGTCCGGTATGCACGCAGAAAACCGGAATACCCCCGGTACCGTGCCCAGTTGGCCCCTCTCACACACCCTAAAAAGGACCATTCCGGCTTTTTCCGCAGGCACATGAAAGCGTGGCTTGGGCCCAAGAATCTCAGGGGCGAGTACCACAGAAACAAGTACTACTACCCGCCACAGGATCACAAGCCCAACTACATTGTTCCTGATGGAAACCCCGTGGATTTGGGCGAGGGGACGCAGGCCTACGCCAGGCTCGATGACAAGAGAGACCCTTCTTTGCATCCGTTCCCGCACAACACACACACAAAGACCGGGCTCATTGTTTCGGACGAATTGAAGCAGAAAATCTACAGCGAAGCCACCGAGGAGCACACGCTGGCGCAGGAGCTTGCCCACAAGTATGGGCTCAAGTTGTCACGCGTGGAGGCCATCATCAGATTGCAAACGATCGAGAAGTCGTGGAGGGAAAAGGTATGTTTTGGATTCGCGGGTTCTGCAAGCGGGACCCGCGCTTGGTCCTTTCGGGGCCGGGCTGGCGGAATATGATGATCTTATTATGATTAGTCTTGAAGACACCCACATGGTTAAAATTTGCTTTATTTCTGAATCCGCAGCCGGCCGCCGGTCCGAACCGGGCCTCTTGCCTCGTGCTTATACTAACGAACCCAGGGACTCTTGTCCGAAAACCTAGAGCAGTTTTCCGGCGTGATGAAGAAAATGTTCCCCTTGTTCAACCCGAACAAAACGGCGGAAAACCTCACGGAAATCCCTACGCCGTCCAAAACCTTGCACCAGCGGTTCTTGACCATCTCGGAGTCCGAGCCGTTCGGGCCCGTGGACGCCTCCAAGATTTTCGACCTCGAGCCTGCACAGAAGGTGCTTGACAACTTGACCGAGTTGCAAGACACCAGCGAAACCAGGGTTGTCACCAACAAAGTGCTTGTTGGCCAGCAGAAGGCCGGCGACAAGGTGCAGTTTAGATTCACCATGTCCACGTCGGGTAACGTCGGATACCGTTACGGTGCCTCCAGGAGAGACAGAAAGAAGGACAGAGCCATCAGCTTCGACAAGCTGGGCCGCATGGTCTACACTGTATAGACAGTTGTACATAGTCAATGGGAAAGTTCAGGAAGAACCGAAACACGAACACATTTGCGCAGAGCCGGCACGACGGCGCATGGCACAAGTCTGTTTTTTTTGAGATGGTACAGGTTAGCATGGACCCGCCAATCATTGGGCTAACTGGGCGGCCGGCTGGGAATCCACACGCCGCTGCAAGTCGCTGGGTCCAGCCTCCAATTCTGGCTTTTGAAAAATCAGTTTGTAACTGCTCGATCCGCGTCTCTTTCTACAACACATTATAAGGTGCAGCTTTATTAGCCCGAGCGAGCGATCTCGCACCGACGGGATGGCTCGAACAAGATGGATCTGATTAAACGGCGATTTTGGATTTACGAAGTCGAAATCGTTCTGCTCAGCTACAAATTTTCTCAGCCACAAATTTTCTCAGCTACAGATTCACTCAGCTACAGATTCACTCGGCTACAGATTCACTCGCAGCCGACCATCTCCTTCATCCAGTTTGGTCGGGCCCAGGTTGGGCCCACCGCGGGCCTGCACACAGCACCCGCGTCCCAGGCGTTTTCTCGACCGCGCACCACGAAAAGCCACGCCAAAGACAGACCGATCTCACCAAACAAACTCCACACCGAGCCAGAACCTCGCCATGTTTTCCCGCTGCCTTTTGTTGCTAGCCCTTGTGCAGACGATCGTGGCCTCGGCGTTGACCTTCAGCTTGCCGGCAAAGGAAGTGTCGTGTTTCTACATCTTCACCGAAAAACCCAACACCCAGGTCTCGTACTACTTTGCTGTGCAACAGGGCGGTTCTTTCGACGTCGACTACTCGGTCAAGGACCCGCTCGGAAACGAGTTGGTGGCGAGAACCAAGGAGAGACAGGGCGACTTTGTGATCACGGCGAAGCACGTGGGCGAATACGAGTTCTGCTTCTCGAACCAGATGTCGACGTTTGCGGACAAGGTCATTGACTTTGAAATCAAGTATGACGACGACGCTTCGAGCGCGTTCAGGGCCCAGATGCCGGAGCAGCCCAACACGCAGCCGTTGGCCCATGTGGAGGCCATGAAGGCCACTGCCTCGCAGATCGACGCGCAGTTGGAGGACTTGAAGAGATCCTTGCAGTACTACAAGACCCGGAACAACCGTAACCAGGCCACGGTGCGCTCGACGGAGTCGCGCATCTACTACTTTTCGATTTTGGAGGTGTTGTTGATGGTCGGCATGGCCGGCTTGCAGATCACGATTGTGCAGTTGTTCTTCAAGGGCTCGCGCAAGCAGCTTGTTTGAGGGGCGTGTATATGTAATAGCGTACAATACCAATGGAAGACAGCGAAGAGCCGGTGGGCTGCTGGACGCGACAGATTGCTCGTGTGGTTGTGCCGGACCGCATCTGTACAATTCGGCGAGATGATTGCCAGATCACACTGGGGACTTGGGCCTGGAGCTGTGCATGTGATGAGGCGATGAAACCAGACATCCAGACGTGGGCAGCGTGCCACGCATGGCAAGTAAAGACGCATTGTAATGGACCAGGTTTCAGTAAGCAGCGCACCTCATAAAGCTGGATGGCTTTAACAGCGCATATCATTAAGCTACCTGGCTATAGTAGTGTACCTCATATACCTACATGGCTATAGCAGCGCACCTCATAAACTTGTATGGCTATAGCAGCGCACATCATAAACCTATATGGCTTTAACAGCGCATCTCATAAACCTATATGGCTTTAACAGCGCACCTCATAAACCTATATGGCTTTAACAGCGCACCTCATAAACCTATATGGCTTTAACAGCGCACCTCATAAAGCTGGATGGCTTCAACAGCGCATCTTATTAAGCTACCTGGCTTTAGCAGTGCACCTCATAAACCTACATGGCTATAGCAGTGCACCTGATAAAGCTACATGGCTTTAGCAGTGCACCTCATAAAGCTACATGGCTTCAGCGCACCACCAAGAAAAGCCCCCAGTCTTCCCCACAAGCAGCGTGCCAGGTAGCAATGGGCAAAACCAATCTTACAGTACCCGCGACCGGACCATGCAGTGGTAATTCTTTTCGTCTAATATACATCTTCACTAGGACTCGCGACGCAGACCCCCAGCAAGCTCGCCCGGCCGGCTCTACTGGTTGATGGGACAGTTTCTCAAGTACTCGGCCTTCTGCTTCAACACGCTCACAGACTTGAGGAAGATCTCCGTGGGGGCCATGGCGCCCGTGGACTCGACGTTGAAAATGAAGTGGTTCTTCCTCCTGCCGAGCTTGACCTTGCCGTTGAACTCCTCGTGTCTCAAGACTTCTCTCAGCACGGTGTCCTTCCTGGCGTCCGCAACGTAGGCCGCGCCGTTTTCGTCGATGCCCACCACGCCCGAGGGGAAGCACTGCTGGAACCTCTGTGCCTGAGCGCCGACGATGGGCTCCTGGATGTCGATCACGGGCATCAATCTGTACGAGGCCGTGGACACGGGCGAGAACTTGGCGTGGTCAAAGCCGTAGCCCAAGATGCAGTGCACTCGCAAGGAGATCTCCTGGCCGGGCCTCAACTTGGCAAGCAAGATGTCGGGGTCGCACGGCGCCACGGGCTTGTCCCTGAAGAGGTCTGCCTGGCGGCCCTGCGGCTCGAACTTGAGGTCCCGCGCGTACACACTGGAGTTTCGGTAGAGCACCTTGGGGTCCGTGGCGCCCTCCGGCGCGTGCGGGTTTCTCGAGCAGCTGACGTCGAGCGACAACACAATGGTGTTGGTGTCGTTGAACCGCTCCTTCTCGTCGACGCCGGGGTCGATGTGCTCCAACATTTCCGGGTCCACGTTCAACGGAATAAGTCCGATTCGGTGTGCGAGCACCTCGTCCTGGATCACCGACGTGTTGTTGAACACGTAGACGGTCTCGGCGGCTACGGACGGCACCTCGGCAAGCATGATTCTGCGGAACGCATTGGCGATCGAGGTGTCCACATTGAGCATGTCGAAGTTGGCCGACCGTTCTGCGGCATGCGAGATGCGGATGTCGAAGCTGTGCTTGAACTTCTCGAGGTCCCACGCATGGTCGTCGCCCGAGTGCCCGGGGAAATCCGTGGCGGTGGTGTTTGTGACGCGGTTGTATTCGATGCCAGCGATGTCGGACATGGCGAGGTGGGCAGCTTCGGGATGGAAACCGGGGCTCATCCGATGGGCCTGGTTTTTTTCACTCGTCCCGCATCGGGCCGTGGTGCACGGGTGCACCGGGCGCCATGTCCGGCCGGCCGCCAGATTGGGAATCTGCCCCGGGCGGCTGGTCCTGCTGCCAGGCTCGCCGGCGCCTGACGGGCCCTGTAAATTTTTCTGGTTCTGCCTCTCTGGACTGGGCCGCCTGTTTCAGGGGCCGCTTCTGCGTGTGTGGAACATGTGCCCGCGTACGAAAGATGCGCCAGGCCGGGGCCAAAGGCATCTTCATTTCTCTCGGCCTCTATTTTTTTTAGTAGATCCATCTCCCGTACTGGATTTGGCGTTATTGCCGGCCTTTTGCACAGATCAAAAGGCCGCTTGACCGGCGCCCGCGGGTGTTCCGGCAGTGATGGAGTACTATTCCAGCAGTGATGGAGTACTACTGTAACCACGCCGTGCTTCACACCAATATCCGCCGGAGAGCCTGCTCCCGCATAGACCGCAATTCCTGGACGTCCCGGTTCTCGGGATGCCGGTCGTACCGCCACAGGGCCCGGACGCCCTCCCAGACGTCCACAGTCAAGATATGCACATTGCCGTCGAAGCCGTCGGAAACCACGTCCAGCAGCACCGCCTCGTCCTTGAGGCTCAAGTCCGCCAGGGGGCCCTGGAGCACGGCCAGGTCGCTGGTGGTGCACATAAGACAGAAGTAGACCAGCTGCATCACCACGATGAGACCGTCAAACACCACCAACTCGCTCCTGCCCCGCGGGAGCCGCTCGCCAATGAACTGCACGGTCCAGCTGCCATGGAGCTGCCTGTCGCCGGCGCTGCTGGTGCGGTACGTGCCGAGAATCAAGTGGTCGAGAAACGAAACACCATTGACGAGCACCACGCTCCAAAAGAGAAACCACCGTTGTTCCTTGCGTGCCTCTTCCTGGAGCAGGGTCCCGTAGTTGAAATGGGCGGCGTACGGGCTGGAGAGCAAGAACTGCACGGTGGCCCGCAAACAAAAGAGGAGAATGGACATGTCTCGTAGATAGAGGATGCCTATGAGCGCACAGCCCAGGGTGCCCATGAGCGTGCGCAAATCAGCGAGGAAAAGCCGTTTTTGCTTGATGAGCAGCGATGCGTTATTGCGGAGCGTCTCCTCGACCGACGGGTACCGCAGGCTCGTGAACAGGTCGGGCATTGGCTGAGAAAATGGCGGAACCCACTGGCGAAGTGCGGATGTGGAGCGAGCTAGCAGTTTGGTATGCGCATAAAAGTCGTGCGAGCAAGCCCAGCAGGCAAATGCAAAACCACATCGAAACTTCGTTTTTCGGAATAAGTCAAAGAGTTCCCGAGCCGCGTTTGAAGACTGGCTACCTGGAAGCATCGCCGCCATGTTGCACGCGAACTGTGAGTCCTCACTTCATGTGCGAGTCTGCATCCATTTCCAACAAGGCTCTTGGAGTACACGTATAGTGCAGTAGACAACCAAGCATGTGCATGCCTCGCCGCCTAGCCGGTTGTATTAAGTATACCACTGCCGCTCTATATACGCAAGTCTCACTTACGAAACTTGATTGACTTGATGGCATCACCGCCCAAGAGCTTGACTTGGTCGAGGATCGATTCTTTGTTGATCACCACTTCATCTCCCTCCCCAGTGGGTTTCACGTCCACGCCCAACGACACACGGAACTTCTTCTTTGTCGCCGCGGAAGGGACAAACACGCCGCAAATCATGTTGCCCGAATCGCCGAAAGCAGCGGCGCACTTCCTTGCCGAGAAGATGATTGCGCTGCCAAACCTCTTATTCAACATGTCCACCAAAACCGGCGTCAAATCACTGGTCGAGGGAATGTCCTCGGGGAAATATGTTTGGTAGCTCAAGTTCTTGAACTCGCTTGTCCTGGAGATCCCCGAGAATTTGGACGCGTGGTTTCCTTTCATTTTGATCACGAAATCAAAGTCATTCAACGCAGGGGTGAAAAGCAACTCCAACGTAGAGGTGTCAATGCCCTGCTCTTGTGTCAACAGCGTCGCCGCACGCGCAAGCGCAGTCAATCTGCTGGCGATTGGAAGCGTGACATTGCTCGACCACAAAATGCCTGAAGGATCGTCTCTAGTTCCAACGAAGAACTGGGTCTTCATTCCCGAGGGGTCGCTGGCTCTAATTTTATCAAAGTTGCCACGCACAACTTGATAAGCTTGAGCCGTTAATCTTTCACTCAATTTGTTGTCGAGGTCAACAATATCGTCAGACCGCTTGACCAAGTCCAAAATTAATGGGTCGTCTTTCCAGTTCCAATTGGCAACAAAACTGAGAATCTGTAGGAAGCCTTTCTCAACAGAGTTTGGCACCGTGTACGGCGCAGGGTCGACGAACGGTTTCAATGCAATGAGCTCTACGAGCTCTTCGGTGAAATGAGACAATAGAGTGTGTGCGTCCAACCATTGTTTGAATAACCTGACCGTTGGAGAGTAGTAAGGGAAGCTGCTCGAAAGAATACTTATGGTTCTCGTGTGTTTGATTGACCCAAGGTATTTCTGGTTGAACTTGAAGTACACATTTTGGACTAACGCCTTTTTTGTGTCCGAGTTTCTGACAGCCCTCAAGTAGAGAACCTCGTCTCTTTCAGAAAGAACTCTGAATCTGAAACCAAACCCATCTGGGGTCAACACGTTGAGTAAGGTGATATCGTTGTTGAAAGGAATCGACTCATCTCTAGAGATGAATGTCTTGTACGTGGATTCCTTGTTCAAGACGCTGCTGATTTTCAACAAAAACGCCGCCTTGGTCTTCTCCATGGCGATGATCTCGTCAGGCCATCTGTTAGAAGTCTCGAATTGAAGAACAGCATCACACCAGAAGTCTGGGCTTCCAACTGCGAAAGGCACTGGCTGTAACAACGTGGTGTTCCGGAGAGCAGCAGATGCAGGCATCATTGATTTGATACTCAACGGCAACTCCAAGTTGTACATCACCTTGCTTAAGTTTTCAAATGAGGTTTTCACCGTCGTGTAGTTTGCAGTGGAAGTAATGCTATGAGAGCCCGAGATTGCGGTCAGCGGCGCGGGCAACTTTTTGTTGAAATATGTGGTGTGCGAATGTAAGTGGTCGGAGGCCAGGGAATGGAAATGCGTGCTCAAGCAGTGCTTGATGATTTTGGAGACAAGAGGCTCAGCGCGGTCGGTGGTCCACACCACACAATGCTGGATGGTGCCGTCCTTGAACTTTCTCAAGGACACCTTGGCGCCCCAGAAGGACCTGAATTTGGCGGCGGGCTCGTCATCGGCGTCGTTCGGGCCTTTCGTGACCAACTTATCACATTCATCCGGATTGAGTTGTAAGCCGATGGTGTATGACTTGCCAAATTGGGAGGACGGCTTTCTCTTGGCAAGAGGGAACGAGCTGTTCACCTTGTTGTTTCTGATGGACAAGCTAGCCACGCGCTCGTCCAAGGCAATCTTGAGGATGGAGTGCAACTTGTGCTTGACGAAGTTGTCGAAAGTGACGAAGGAGATCTTCTCCAATGCACCAAACGATTCCTCCACTTCCTCGGGCACTTCGAGGTCGTACGTCAAGTCGTAGTTCAAGAAGCTGACGTTGACTTTCTGGAGCAAGATGGCGTCGAAGCGGTCAAACACAACATCGTTGAGCAAGCCCAAGGTGTGGATGGCATGCTGGCGCAACTCCTGGTAGGACGACTTCGTCATTTTCCATAGTATGTTCAACTTGATGCTCTTGTCGAAGAGCGTGGGCGTGTTGAACCCGGCGTCTGGGTTGAACTTGCACGACGCGCCCTCGCCAATGGAGCTGGAGAACGAGAGGTAGCCCGTGGTCAAGTCCATGGTGGCGAGGTATTTGATGGCGCCCTTGAAAAGCTGGTAGGACGAAAAGCCATGCAACAAGATCTTGTTGCCGTTGGTGCCGCCCCCGGACAACAACGCGCTCAACAAGATGGCAAACTCGAAGTGCCCGAAGCCGCCCTTGGAAATGGCGGAGCCAAACTCACGCTGCTGCAACCACAAGCGTCCCAACCTGCAGGCGTCCTTGAACGCGTCCGCCGCCTTTTTGTTGGCGTAGAGGAACTTCAAGTAATAGTCGTACGTGGTGAGAGACAACACAGACGAGTTGTAGTGCGGTGTTGGCGGGAGTTCTTCTGCGTCGCTCTGCACGCGGATGCAGTTTCGGTCCGGCAACAACTTCTTGGAGTCGAACACGCCGAGCGGGAGCGCCACTAGCAAGTTGATGGAGAACTTGGTCTTGTGGAAGGCCAAGTCCGCGTCGTTGTCGGTCTTGATGCTTTCAAGCGTCAAAACAGGACACAACACGTCGTCGTTCAAGTACGTATACGAGATCTTGACCGGAAGCCCGTTCTTGCGCGTGATGGGGATGAGCTGGTCCGCCAAGTACGCGAGGTAGAAGCTGCGCTTGTACAAAGCTCGGTAGTTCAAGTAGTCCTTGGGCAGAAACAAGGTCAGAGGCATGGTCAACGAAATGTCGATGGACGAGCCGGCCGCCTGCGCGATGCCCGTCTTCAAGCCGAAAGAGCCCACGAGGGAGACGTCGGCCGGCGGCAAGTACCCAAAGCGGTAGTTGACCTTCGAGGGTCTGGGGTCCGGAAAAGGAATGGCGACCTTCTTGCCATTGATGCTTTTCTCGGCGTCGGCGAGCGTCAAGTTGTCCGCGCTGGGCACCTGCCCAATGCAGTCGTGAAGCCGGTGGAGCACCTTCTCGATGCGCACGATGTTCAGGTCCTTGATCTTGATTTCGCTCATGAGCTCGTCGATCTGGAGCTTGAAGATGTTGGACTTGAACAACTCCGCGGTTTCTCGGGCCATCTGCACCTCCTGCGCCGTGATCTGTTTTTTCTGTTTTTTCGTGGCACGGCCGTGGATCACGGGAGCCGCCGGAGCCTCGGTCCCGGCCTCCTGCGGCATTTTCTCGGCGGCAGACTCGTCGCCCGAACTGTCCATATTTTCGTCTTCCAGCTGGGACTCCAAGTCTGCGAGAGTTTCGGCACCGGCGCCCGAGCCGCTTCCGCTTTCCTGGAGCCCGGTTTCGGAAACGTCCTCCTGGTCTGCCAACAGTCTCTTTGCCATATTGATGGATGAAGGATGGGCACGGTGTTCGTAGATGAGCTGGTGCTTTGAGTTTTTTCTGTATCGATGAGTTAGTCGTGCGCGGCGCGCAAGCGGCGACTGCGAGAGCGTGTCACGTGAGATGGGCACGTGACTCGCGGGCTCCGGGCCGTGTTTTGGAGCGGGTGCTTCAGGGCTCTCGATTGGGCACTGGCTGCTGCGGCGGCATTTGTACTGCCCCACGGGTCCATGTGTGTTTTGTGTCGTCAGTACTGGTGGCACCCGTGTGTGCAGGACTCGTGGTGACTACTTTTCTTGATCCTGGCGGGCAGAAGTCACGTGCCAGACTGGCCGTTTCATTGGCGGGAAAACAGGTATACTAAATGTGGAATGAGGTTTCCCACGAGCCATTTCGGCCGGCCCCATATCAACTTGTATCACATTTCTATTATTTTGATGAATCCATACACAAATAGAAAGCTCTTATTCGTGGAACCCACTGAACTCGGGGTATTCGTACGTTTAAATGTCTTTCGCGAATCATTCAAATTACCTCCTGTCTTACGTCGAGCATGGCGCGGCTAGAACACCATGCCTCTTGGCCATGCTTTTACTTCGGTACCAACAAAACCAACAAAACCAAAAAAAAAACCAACAGAAGAAGCAAAACCACTCAAAACACTTAAAATTATTTGACGCCACAGCCCAAAAAGTCAATTGCGAATTCCGCGCGAATAACGACTCCATTCTGGAAATGTCTCGTATCGTGGCTGATCAAAATCACTGGTAGCCAAGGCTACGTTTCCCCAAATGCAGAGAAACGCGCGCTCATACCTGAGAGACAATAGAGTCCACCCAAAGGCCATGAAAAACGTAGTCCACTATTTCTGCAGCCTGAACCCCCTAGCAAAACATGACATACTACTCGGATTCAATTGGATTGCCGCCTTCAGACAAGACCCGCTGGCGGCTCAGAACCGATGACCTCGGCAGAGAAACTTGGCACTATCTCTCAGAGACCGAGAGTCTCGCGGAACCCCAGACTAATACCACCAAGTACCTATTGGACATGGCCGATTTCAAGGGGCCGCCGGCAGAAAAAAAAATCACCACGGCCATGGAGTCGGCCATGAAAGGTGCGGAGTTCTTGAGCCACATCCAGGAGGAATGCGGCATCTTCGCATGCCAGTATAAGGGCCCCATGTTCATGACTGTGGGATATGTTTTTGCGTCGTATTTCACGAAAACCCCGATTCCGGACGTAAAGAAGCACGAGATGATCCGGTACATTGTCAACACCGCTCACCCGGTAGATGGTGGCTGGGGATTGCATTCTGTGGACAAGTCAACGTGTTTTGGCACCACCATTAACTATGTCGTGTTGCGGCTCTTGGGCTTGCCCAAAGACCACATGGTGTGTGTGAAAGCCCAGAAAACACTCTTCAAATTGGGAGGGGCGTTGGGAAATCCCCATTGGGGCAAGGCCTGGCTCTCCCTTTTGAATTTATATGGATGGGAAGGCGTGAACCCAGCCCCCCCTGAAATGTGGCTCCTTCCATATTCCCTTTCTATCCACCCAGCCCGCTGGTGGGTACACACAAGAGCAATCTATTTACCGCTTGCTTATTTAAGCGCGAACAGGAGTACATGTCAAGTCGACCCGCTCTTGGAACAAATCAGGTCAGAAATCTACTTACCGCGTCAGTTGCCATACGCGTCCATTGACTTTTCCGCCCATAGAAACACTGTATGTGGCGTTGATCTCTACTATCCGCACACGAAAATCTTGGACACCTTGAACTGGTGTATAGCCAAGTACGAGAAATACGTGCGGCCCAAATGGCTCCTCAAGCAAACCAACAAAACGGTATACGACCTCATCCAGAAAGAGTGTCAGAACACTGAGTACTTGTGCATCGCGCCGGTGAGTTTCGCATTCAACATGATCGTCACGTATTTGGAGGAAGGCGCGGATTCTAAAGCGTTCCAGTGCTTTTTGGAAAAAAAAGATGATGTCGTGTTCCATGGACCCCAGGGATTGACTGTCATGGGCACAAACGGGGTGCAGGTCTGGGATGTTGCTTTCATGTGCCAGTACTTGATTATGGCGGGCTTACTGGGGCACCCACAGTACCACGACATGATTTTGAAAGGATACTGGTTTTTAAGAAGATCTCAGTTCACTGATGAATGCGTAGAGGGCTCCTACAGAGACAAGAGGAAAGGAGCATGGCCATTTAGCACGAAAACACAGGGCTACACTGTTAGCGACTGCACTGCCGAGGCCATGAAAGCTATTATCATGGTTGAGAACGATGATTACCTTGGACATCAAATTGAACACAAGATTGAACGGCAGAGTCTTGAGGATGCCGTCGATAGGATTCTCTTTATTCAGAACACAGACTCTTTTGAGTATGGATCTTTCTCGGCGTATGAGAAGATTCGGGCCTCTCCCATGATGGAATGGCTTTCTCCTGCTGAAGTCTTCAACCAGATTATGGTCGAATATCCATACGTCGAGTGCACGGATTCTTCCGTGTTTGGATTGCTCTATTTTTCGAAATACTACCCGGACTACAAGCCTGATGTCATTCTGCACTCCATCGACATTGCTATTGCCTATATTGAAAATGCTCAGGACAAACAAGATGGTTCATGGTACGGCTCATGGGGCGTATGTTACACATACGCTGCCATGTTTGCCGTTGAAGCGCTCGAGTCGGTGGGAAAAGTATATGGCAATTCTGAGGTTGTCAAAAAGGGTCTTGACTTCTTGGTAGCAAAGCAGGAGACTGACGGAGGCTGGAGTGAATCAATGAAGGCTTGCGAAACCCATACCTATGTTCCTAATGGACAATCTATGGTCGTCCAAACTGCTTGGGCGGTGATTGCTCTCATATTGGGTGAGTTTCCTGAGAGAGGGCCCATTGACAAGGGCATCCAATTGATTATGCAAAGACAATCACTTGAAGGCGAATGGAAATTCGAGGATGTTGAAGGTGTTTTTAATCACAGCTGTGCTATCGAGTACCCGACCTACAAGTTTCTATTCCCAATCAAAGCCCTCGGGCTATATGCTGCAAGATTTGGCCAGCACGCTGCGCCCCTCAGATAAATCTGGAAACCAAATATATTCTTTTTACAATTAGAGATACTGATCATTATTTCTCAAAATTAAGATTACGGATTTAACCAATGACAACATCGACCGGGATGTTCGCGTGCTGGGCTGCGCCGGCGGTGTTTGACTAGCGCAATATTGCTGCAGAGACTGTATGTCGGGGTTTGAAAAGCGTGATCGTTGGTTATATCGCGGTATGCGCCTTGTTTTTGCTACCACAGCCCAGCAAGCCTATCAGCGATATTTTCCCTTGACTGAAGCAGGCTTAGCAGCCTATCTCTGAGTTAATTTGATACCACATCTACTAAGGGTTTTTTTGCCGTGCACGTTTAGGGACAATGCGTGACTTTTTATGCCCCCTAAATATTAGGGGTGTCTACACTGTGTACGATTCTAGAATCTGAATGACTGTCTGACAATCATCGTTAATCTGATTGGAAAGCCGCTGTGCGTTCTACTTAGTGCAAATCACTCAACGGGGTTTGAAGAAAAATATTTATTTTTTTAAATCAGCAAAATCGTGTCTCCTCACTGCCCCATCTCGGCATTTGAAAAACATTTCCGAGAAAAAAAGAAATACCACATACGCATCACATAGAAGCGCTTCCGCGTTTCCGCGCCTGTCAATATGCAGCTTTTCAAATGCCGAAATGATATAAACCGCATATCCGCACCGAGGTGTCTGAATTTTTAATTTTTAGGGTCAGACACATTATTTCTCCTTATGCTTCCTGAATCTCCAGAAAACGAAAAGCGCGACTACTCCTCGGACTCTACTGCCTCTAGCGAAGATATGATTCCACCTAACTACCCACCTCCGCAGCCAAGACAAGATATGTCTAAGGAACACCTTTTCCATCCCCACCATGGCCCTTACGGATACCATGACCAGGACCAATTTCACGGCCACCCACATGACTTCCCTCATGCTCGTGGCGGATTTGTGCCCCCACCATTCCCTCCTCCTCCTCCGCACCACCCAAGCCACAGGCCTCATCCAAATGATCCTTTCTTCTTTGAAGACGAGCACCATAGAAGACCAAAGAGAGACATTAAACAGAAGGTCTTACTTGGATCGGCAGCTGTTTGTGGAGGCTTACTTATGTTCCACTTGGGCAGAGGCTATCAACTTAATGCCATGAGTGGGGACGACTTTCGCCAAAACGCCATGGCTCCTCATGATGGAGGCCACCACATGAGTCATGAATATGGAATGGAAAGCTCAAACAGAAACGAGGGCTTTTCACACGGAGGCGCCCACCGTCCAGGCAGACATGGTGGACAGCCACATGGTGGAATGAACCCAGAGTTTGGTGGAAAACAACACCATGGTAAGCCACCCCAGGAGGTGGACGAACAGTTAGATTTCAATTCTCTTGACGATCCAAACGGTCCACCTTCATTTCCCGAATTTGGCAAGTCTGGTGGAAAAAAGCACCACAAGGGTCCAAAAGGAAAGAATCACAAGAAACCCCACCACGAGGATGACCAATTTTCTGATGAGACTGACGTGCAAAGTGACTCCGATGAAGAAGATAGAGAGCCACCAAGAGGTCCACCAGGTCCACCACCAAGAGGTCCACCAGGCCCACCACCAAGAGGTCCACCAGGCCCACCACCAAGAGGTCCACCAGGCCCACCACCACCAGGTGAATCCGATGGTCCTGATGGTCATGATGGTCATGATGGTCATGATGATTCTGATGGTCCAAAGGGTCCAAAGGGTCCGAAGGGTCCAAAGGGTGAGAACCCAGAGAAGCCAAAGGATGGCGAAAAGCAGAAAGATGGAGACAAGAAGGAATCAACCCCAGATGGATTCAAAGGACCTAAAGGACCTAAAAGACCAGAGAGACCAAAGGGGCCTAAGGTACATCATGGACCCGAAGATGAGTCTCACAAGAACCCGGAAGAGGGTGACAACAAGAGCTCAGGTCACAAAGATCAGAAAGAACCCGCAAATGACCAAGCTCAGCTTGAGGCAAGTGCTGAACAAGCTTTGCAAGATCTTGATTCCGATTTGAAGGCCAAGTCCAAACATGTCGACGGCTTGACATAATCTTTTGCGACAACCTACGAGGTACTTCCCAGCCGCTAGTCCGGCGATTGTTTTATTGTTTGTAGTTAATTGAACCTGAATATGTTTATTTTCGGGAACAGCGATTCAGAGAGTTCGAGTCATCTCCCGGAAGACAAGTGCGTACCTTATCATGATGACGGATCAAATAAAGACTAAATTTACGTCTTGTGCGAATACATGAGTCGGCTTTAATTAGGTCGAGCCCACTTGAAAATAAGAATTTGCTGAAATGTGGATTGCCATGAAAGCTAATTCTCACAGCAAAAAAGGGTATTTTCAGACATTAAAGAGTTCTGAAATTTAAAAGAGTAATCAGACGCATCGCTCTTTGCGAAAGATAACGGTAAATTTAGCTTAATTATCTCGTCTTTCTATATCTTAATCATTAGCGGAAAATAGTTTGTACGGGCCAGGCTGTATTTCTGGTAGCTAGGCGTCAAGCAGAAGTCTTTAACATGAGTAGCCTGCGTGCAAATTCTTAGACTTCGGTTTTTCAAGCCATCAAGACATCAAAAGTCAAGTTGTATTATTTGTAGAGACTGTCATCTTTCCCTTCCTTTTCAATCTCCACAGCTACATCGGGATCTCTGACAAAACCGATGCTGTCCAAAGTCATGGGTCCTTTCAGATTCAAATGGTTAATATATTTTCGATATTTGCGAAGGCACATACATCCTCGAACAAGCGTTTTACATTTGCAATCAACGCTTCTGGTGTCTTTCGCAATTGGAGTAAGTCTCTGGGTATACTTTTGTATGGACGTCTGCACGATTGTTAAAAATTATACTAGTTTATGTCCATACGCTTGTGCGACTTTTATAGTTAATGTTTAGTGTGGTCTCAAGAGGTATGGGACATTTTGTTATATAGACCACTAATTCAATGAGCTATTTTTCGTATTTTTCGAGTAAAAGGGAATTATCCCTTGCAAAGACTCATCTTACGGAAGGCTCACCTTGACGGAGATCTCAAGACTCAACAAATACTTGTTTTTCAATGTATTATTAGAGAGTATCAGCTATATGTAGTTCATGCTGAACTATGTGGGGGATTGAAATTTTGCAGCATCTCATGGTATTTTAATATACGTATAAGCTGTGGAGTCAGTGAACATAGACTTGAGAGCTAAGCACCCGGACTTGCAGGTGATGTCCTTGCTAAAAAAGGCCATGCTATCCTTGGACTTCCAGGTTCCCATGGTAACGGGGGCCAGTGCTGGGCACCCGAGCCCGAGATCCATCCATGCTCTGGGAGAACAAGACAAAGGCGAATAAAACAATGAGCTCTGCTGGTACTTGACCATGAAGTAGTTATTTTTGAAGCCGTATAAGCTTCTACTTGACCATAAAGTAGTTATTTTGAAAGCCTCGGACTTGATTGGTTTGAAATCAGTCAATTTCAACAGCTACGCATAAACAAGTACCAATTTTTGAGCCCGTCAGATGCGTCCAAGCTTAGCAAAATTAGTACTCAAAGAAAAAATTGAAAATACTGCCCTTTGCTTGATTTCTTTCTTTTTTTGGTCACTAAGTCTTGGTTTTGGAGGAAGATTATATGGCTGAGGAAATTGTGATATCTTCACTGTGTCCATTATGTGTCCGAAAGTTGTCCTTAAATCTTAAATGAGAAAAGGTTTTAGTAAGACGTCAGGCTGCCTGATGATCGAGCTCAACTGGGCCTCTGGAAACCTTATGTTTTGAGACAGCATACAATCCACGAAGCAACGTAGAAGTCTTTCATCGATAAACTCTCTTCAAAATAGATGTAGAATATATCGAGGAAAATTGATAGAGAGCATTTGTTTTTTGATATATGTACACGTTCAAATAGTCCTCCTGCTCGTACTCAATTTGCTGTGGGTTTGTGTGTTTTGGCACCACCCGAGGCTTCTCAGTTTTTTCTGTGGATTAAATCGAAATTATGGCCTTTTGCGTGAGCGGGTCATCTAAGGAGGGATAGTTTCTCACGCTGTCTGGTTTGTCTAAAGCTAAGCTTATCTCCAATTATTATGAGCTCTTTCGCAACGATAAGATAAGTTCAAGACTAGTTATCAACGAAATGTATCGTAAAGTAGCACTGACTTAATGCTAACTCGATTCAGCAGGAGTAGCCTCAATTACCACCTCATTGTATTCCACTTCACTGTAAACATATGAAAGAGAATTGGAAGAGCCAAGCACTGATGTGCCCTTCTCATATTTCAGGGATCCCTGATACATTTTGCGCAATGAAAACATTGGCCAGGAAGTTGGCATATAAATCCAGGCTTCTTAACTTAGGCCGCAAGGAATATTTCAAATGAGTGCACTATGTCTCTTGATTTATATTAGAACTGTACTACAGTCCTCGGCTTTCGTTTAGCGGGGAATCAATAAAGTTTAAATGCATAGAAAGACAACAGAATAGTGACGAGTGGAAAGGTCAAGTTCTGGGTCGCCACACAGAAACCACTTATTTTTATGAAATGCTACGAGGGTACATTTACGGGCGTCAAATGGATGTTGAATAATTTGTAGTGGTGAATGGACCCGTATATGCCGACTGCCCATCTACATAGTACGGTAGCACAAGCTTTACAAAGTTCTGATCAATTTCCAGTACAAGATAAGCAAATCCATTCGTTTTTTCAGACTTTAAAAAGATAGAATTATAGACGGAAAACAAAATTCTAATGGCGAGTACAAGCGTCTTATTTACACCGCATATTTCGCACGCTTGGTAAGGAGCAAGACCTAGGGATTTTTTAGAAAAAAAATTATTAATAGATTCATCTGATTGAAGGAGCAGAGTTATTTTACAGTAATATATATGTAAAAAAACCTTCAAAGAGTTCCCAGATACGGAAGTGTTGAATATCGGCTCGCCCCCTTCCGATAGTCACGGCCTGGACAGTCCTCTTGGCCCGTATCTGTCTACACTTTGGAGATTACGTTCCTAGGATAAGCCCCCTTTCGTAGTCGCTACTTAATTGAGAAGATCAAGACAACTTCGACAAATAATCTGAATTATGAGCAAGACAAGGTATGGCATTTGATACCACAAAAACAAAACAGCTTAGCGGCTGCAAAAACAAGTGCCTTCAGCCAGATTCGAACTGACGATCTCCTCATTACTAGTGAGGTGCCTTACCAACTTGGCCATAAAGGCTTCCATGTCTCCTTGGAGAGGATTAAAATAGAGAATCACAATATTTAGTAAGCATATGTATCTGATTCTTTTATTTTACACATGCAATGGTCCACTAATCATGCCTATTTTCATAGAAATATCCTCCTGAAAATTGGTTCAGAATAGGGAAATACACTGAAATATATAGGCCCATCGCTTAGTCTAAAATCTTATCGGTAGGACGCTAGTTCTTTGTTCGTCACCTCTAACCCATTCCTTAAAATGCAATCCAAGTCCATTGCTCTCTATTTGGCTGCTGCCTCTTCTGTCTCTGCCACCAGCTCTTCTAACGACTTCAATCACTCGAACAGAACCTTTTCGACTGCTGTCGCTGATGCATCTCAAATGGTTGGTGTTGGTGTTTTCGGTGTCGCCGTTGTTGCCGGTGTCGCCATGTTGTTGTAAGTTCCTCATTGTCTAGAAACGATGTTTATATCTTTCGAAAAACAATGTAGCGCCAAGGTATTTGCTAGTGGCAGACGTGGAAACTAAGTGATTTAGCGACTTGTGTATCAAGTTTTGATTTTTAAAAAAAAATACGTTCAAGGTATATAAAGCGACTAGTGTAAAAGAACCATTCTTGAGATCAACGACGTATAGTTCAATGAGGACGCGTGCCAAGAATGACTGTCTCTAAGTGACAGGTGGGGCAGGGCGCGTTCTGATCCTATTCACGTACTTAAGGGCTTTCTAAAGGTATTTATACAATGCTTTAAAATTTTTCTTCTTCAATCACATGAAAAAAACGACATACAAACAAAAATTGTTTCCTATCTTCAAAACCTGAAGGACGCGACAAGCACGTCCTTTTCTTCTAAAATACAATTGTGTGGCTTAAATGTGGTTGTCTTTTGTTTTGCGACCACTCAATGGTTGCAAATGAAGTAATTGTGTGAATGAAAATAATGATTCTTGTGCAACTAAATTATCTATAGTTTAAATTGGGTGACAGAGAAGTTCTGCTTTGCATACATTTTTTAACTTTGCTCTGTATATCCCCAAAGTCGTAATTGTTTACTTTGCTCCGTATATCCTCAAAGACGCAACTGTTAACTGCGCTTCGTTCAATGTCTGCAGCGCCATTTTGTGGAAATGCAAAAGGCTGAGATTTGTCTCAGAAAACCAAAAAATTTGAATCACTTTCGTTTAGAGTCTCTCCGTCACACAAATCTTCATTAACAAAGGTTTTACACAATGTCAATCCACATGAGCTTCAAGAGTCTTAATTCGAAGGCATCAAATATTGTCCTAGGTTGCCCGCCCCATGAGACTAAGCTCTTGAAAAAAGTCAAGACAATTTCATCAGGCGGTTCACTCTGTAGACAAGAAAATTTTTCGACTAAGAATAAAGCACACGCCCAGTCCAAGGAAGATGTCAAGAGCAACAAAGATACGCATGGATTCAAAAAGTTCAGAAATCTCAAAAAACGGAGTCTATTCCACAAATTTACAAGATGTCAATCTGGCACAAGTCCTAAGGGTCTGCCCCCTCTTCTTCAGGAAAATGTGGCACAAAATTTAGTTACCGATTTGGTAACCCCGAAAGATCAAACAGACGAAGAGCCCTGTGAATACTCCGGGACTCCAGTGGATACCCATTCCGTTCGTCTGTCTATTTCTTCCGCTATGCGAAACCGTTCTCAAGACAGATCTCCCTCTATATTCCAAATGCCTTTGCAGGTCCGCGACGTTTATCTCCCCCGCTCAATTTTGAGGTACTTGATTTGGACCTTCAAAGACAAAGACACAAAAAAGCCCAAAACAAGAAAATGTTGTTTTTTTGAGCGATCTGCTAAAGAACTAGAAAGGAACAGTCCCGAAATTAGTAGGCGGCTGTATGATTCTCGCAAATATGCGTTGCTTGAGTTCATCAAGCATCATGCTAGAACATTAGCAAGGATGTTTTCAAAGCTTTGTCACTTCACCAAAATGTCCTGCCTGAGATTCAGAATGAAGTCTAGAAACCTCTCGCGCTCCGATCCTTACTCTTCAGAAACAAATGCAAATGAAAACTCAGATGAGCTAAGTGCCGGCTCTGGCCTGGAAAATCATTCTGAAAGCCCATTACGTCAAAAAATTATCATACTGCCAGCTTTCGTTACAACTTCCAAAGATCATGATCTCTTAAGTGAGTCCTTCAACTCGTCATCTACAATTTCTAGATCTGCGAGAAGAAAAAGTGTGACAATCTCTTATGAAGCCTATGGCAGTACAGGCAGAGCGGTGAACGAAATAAGCGAAGACATTAAAACTGAGTTTTCTAATTTACATCCACGCCAAAAGAGCAGCATTCCTACTTCCCAAGTATAATCAGTAAGAAGTCCAGCGGCAAGCTTTCTCGAAGGCTCCCCTCTCTCGCTAGATTCACCTTTCGGCAAAATCACCACAAGCATTTTTGATGAAGAAACAAATTTCAAAACTTTTCGAAAAACAGCTACTCATTTTTCCTCCATTGATTTCACATCAGGGCATAAATTGATTTCATCAAACGTGAAAAATTCTCATGACGACGAAGTGACACAGAGCTTTCAGAGCTAAGGATCTGGAAATTTTTCACGGAAATACGAAAAGAAAATCTTGGGGACGCCGAGAACCCAAAATCAAAAGAGAAAACCTCACTTATACTCTACCCGGGGAACACAATACAGACTGGTGATATTGATGCACTCAGCTTGGACTGGAAACAATGAAAATTACAAGTGTGCTGAATTGAATACAGGATGTCATAATCAGCAAGCAGCAGCTCAGTTGCACGTACTGTGTTCTCTGTATAAAGAAAGAAAAAAGCTTTTCAGCTTCTAAAAGCTACCAAAACTTCCATTTCAAGGATAAAGTTTAAATTTCATTTATTGTTTTGAAGGAAGAGCTTCCAATGACTCAAAATCTACTTTTGAAGAGAAAGAATTGGGCTTTCCCTCTATTCCTGTTCCTCATGATATTGATTTAGGATATATGGTTGCAAAGGAGGACCAAGCTGCTCTTGATGATAAGAAGCGCTTTAAAACAAGACTGTACATTTATCGATACAAAAGGAAATTATAGCTCGTTGCCAGAATCATACTTAAAGTTTGACTCGCTAGTTGCTTCGAGGCTGAAGTCAGAAATCAATGACAAATTATGACAGGAAATGTTTGCAATCAATTTTACCGAAGCTTTTTCAAACTTTGCCTTGGAACTAAATCTACTGTCACAGCAGTTTAGAAAAATGCCAGTCAAATCCTTGACCTGTGAGAATGCTTTGACAATACTCTTGAGAGATACTCTATTTTGGGGCAGATCTTCTCGGGTGAAAAAAATGAGTTTCCGAGGAGTAAGATTCGAAGGAGAGATAATAATGTTGAGCAGACATTCTTACAAGTTTGGAGCGGACAAAAGAGCAAAATTTTTGAGAGACCAAGAATTTAAAAAAAGCCATAAACGATAAGCTTCTTGTATCCAAAAGTGTATAAATTGTTTTGGGAGCCGATACAAACAATTTGGATTTTAAACTGGAATGTAACAAAATTGCACCAGTTTTGAAGATGACTGGATCCAAAGATAGAAAAAGTTCTCATAAATTTTATGGAAACGCCCTTCACGAAAGCAGTTTAAAATCAAGATTCTATGCTCAATAATTTTGTTGCCGGTTGCGAAATTGGATGTTAAAATGGCTTATGTTATCGCCAACACACTCAATGATATCCAAAACTGGTGGTATGTTAGGCGCCTGGATAAATCCAAGCATTTTTCTCTTCAAAGGTATAAACAACAACTACATTAAACAATCATAACAGCTAATGACCCTGAAATGATGTAGAGATGAGGCGCAGCAGAGCCAAACGAAATAATGGTCTCTATATATCCTTTCTTTCTAGCTGGGTTCATAACCAGAACAATGCGCACCGTAAATTTTTCCCCACCATATTTATATTAGCAGGCATTATCAAGATTTAGTAACCTGGTACAAATGAATTGCGTCTTAATTCAGAGGCCTGGCGTGACCGTGGAAATAGTATGACGAAGCTCTCGCTGGTTTTTGGCACGTGTTGGTGGATATGCAACTGACATCCCATTTCATGGGACAGAGCATTGTCTGTTCTATTGTCTGATATATTGTCTTGTTTCATTATCTTGCGCTGTCGTGGTCATTTATTCTAAGCCACATTTATCATACACTACTAATTATGGTTCATCAAAGTAAAACCAGTACTATATCAAGAGCATATAAACGCCCAACAATCCTCCAATTTTGTAACATAACTTAATTTGAACATTAAATATACCTTCCAGAAAAATTCTAGTGTACATCTAACTCCACATGAAACCTTGCAGTATCAAACTCAGCATCCAGGTGGCAGCCACTGTGGCTTCATTCTTTATTAGCGGCGTGTTTGGCGTGACAATATCTACTGACACTTTTGAAACGAACCCGGGCGTGAAAGTCTTCGAGTCTTTTTTACTTCATGGACGAACAAATTATTCGATACTCAACAGCCCTTCTGTTACAATCAAGAGCTTTTCTAACGAAGGCTTCTTTTTCTTATCCAACACAAATGGTGTGGTATCTTCCACAAAGATATACAATCAGTTTTTTAATCACGGAAAAATTGTGTTCGATTCCTTGCTGAATAACGCCAAATCTTCCTACAGCATTGATGTTGAAGACTTCGCGAACCGTGGTGAAATGTATTTCGGGATTTCGAATACCGGTAGTAGAGATTTACCATTCCTTGTTAATTCTAAGTCTTCATGGGAGAACGATGGTTCAATGGTATTTCGGTCAGACTCTACACAAGCAGCTCGACTTGCGATGAAACATGTGGTCGGTTTTCACCATGAAAGTGGTCCGACAGTAACAAACAATGGATTAATATGTCTATATAACACTATTTGGCAGACCGAATCAAGTATTAGTGGATCAGGCTGTATCTTTGTGGGTGCTGACTCATTTTTAACCTTACAATTGAAGTCCGGAAAACAATCATGGTCCATTTCGGAAGCTCAAACTATCTTCTTGGAAGCTCCTACTTCACATTTAAGAATTTCTGGATTGAGCACTTCTCTTTCAACCAAGCCTGTTATCAAAGTCCATGGTTTTGGTGGGAATAATCTCATTGATTTTCATCTTGGTGATGTTGAGGCACAACACAAATACTTTCCAGATACGGGGAAATTAATGGTTTACGTCTCGGAACAGCCTAAAGTTGAATTTGATATTGGTACTGGGTACGATTCAAGTTCGTTCGATGTTTCAAAAGTACAAAAAACCATGATTATGAGATACAGTGGCCCACCAGGTGGCAGTTCTGGTGACAGTTCTTCTTGCAAATGTGTTTCTGAGTTTCCTCAAGCGCCAGAAGCTACTTCTGCTTCGTCTTTGTCCGCCGCTGAGTCTGAGCTTGAGCCTGTGTACCTCTGTTAATACTAGCTTCATTTATATCATTCAAAGACAAATAAGGCTATAAATCCTGGGCATGTGTGTTTTTGCCCGTTGTTGTCTTCCTATTATACGTTCCATATGATCTTTCACCAACTTTTTTTGTCTCAAAGATGTTGGAAATTTTAGATTATATTGAAAACTTAGTGGAAGCTTGGTAGGAAAACAACTTGGAAATATATGCCCTTCATTCAGTAGACAAAATGTCAGAAAGTTTGAAAGAATTGGACTTGCTACAGTCGCCTGTTTTTGTTACAGAAACCTGTAAGTTTTCAAAGAGATCTAAGTATCTTGTTAAAGCAGAGTCACTGTGTCCAGAAACACAAAACCTCGACAAAAGCTGATCTCTGTATCAGCAACAAGACGGACTTGAGCTCAGTGGCGGGCCTTCGATCAAAGTTGGACTGTTCCTGAATGTTGTGAGTCTTAGAATAATGAAATATCTGGATCTAATTCTGAAACGTTAGTGACGAGATTCGTAGAAAATTATTGGTCTCTTCCTTCATTTAATTGAGAGGGTGCATGTGATGAGAAAATAAGAGCTTTCATGATAAGCCTTTTAGTCCTCCGAAAAACAGAAACGGACTTGATATCGCTCGGATTAGGCGCCATGAGTAAAATTTCAGAGTTACACAAAGGGCTCGTGATAGTGGCTATTTTGAGACCAAGTCCTGGGAAGATCTTCTGCAATGCTTTAAATCTGCAATTATGAAAATGTTCGATGAATTTTTGAAAGTTAAAGAGAGCCTTGTATCTCTTCAGACAGGGTCAGCCTGTGGGATGAACTTTATCGTAGATTCTATCAAATACATCAGAGAACCAAAGAATGAGATTCTCAAGTGCTACTTCCAGTTTTACGAGCTGAATAATCCGCAAGGTGTATTTGGTTTCACCGATATTAATGAGTACACTTATGTGAAAACATATCTAAGAAAGAGCACATGGTATTGTGAAGTTGATATGGATAATTTTTGGAAATGATTTGAGAAAAAATGTTGAATCTTTGAACTTATCCAGCAAATCAACTGGAGAATTGATCAAGAAGCCTCAATCAAGATACGTTTCGAGACTTAAGTTACTATTGTTTGGCTGTCTGCTAAAATTGTTCTCCAAATCGACGGATGGAGTCTCTCTGGTATGCTTATGAGAAATGGAGCAGGGTATGACAATGACGAAAAAATGCCAGGCAAAAAAAAAAGGTTCTTCGCCCAGAGCTTCCAAGAAGAAAAAAAGAAAGAGCAAGGCAAAAAGAAAGAATAAAACGAGATGATTTCCGGGAATTTCTGGTAACAAAAAGGGTAACGATGTTCGGAGCAGGCAAAATTCCCAAAAAGAGGATCTAGATACACCAAGTAACTTTACAAACTGCTTTTACAAATATATAACTTCTTTTGAGTGTCGTTTGCTTTCCAGCTCCGTATGATGTATACTGCGCATTTGTTCCATGAAAGAAAATCGGAATCCACTCAATTGTACTGGAAGATTGAATTGCCTGTTATTTCTCTGATCCCTGAAGAGTCAAGACCTGCATTTTTCAAAATCATTCTGCGTAAGGTTCAGCATTTTGTCCTGGATTTTTGGATTCGGTGGCTTGTTGATGTATGGACAGTATTGGCTCATAAAGCAGTTGTAAGGACTATTAAAAATTCCCCAATCATTCAACACCTCTTCTAAAAGAAGGTCTGCATCGGTTGAGGCTTCGATAAGATTCTTCTGAAAATACGATCTTCAGTCTTCGACGACGAATCTAGTGTAGCCTAACTTTCTGCCCACAAATAAACCAATTACAGGGTTCAAGGCCATGTATGCCCAGGACTTCAAGATGCTCGCGCAGTCAAACCACGCGACATAATACTCATACATCCAGCAGCCAGAAAGGCCTCACACTACCGCTGCTACGAGCACCTATTATGGAAAGCCGGCATTTGTGGTCTTTTTCTTCTGAATCAAAATAGCACCCCCAAGCATGCGGAAAAACGCCATTGGGCCCATATGAACATGCGTGGATCGAAGATCCGCCAGACCCGGGCTGGGCCCCGCACGACCGTTTTCTCACTGAAAATATTCACCAGCATGGCTTCCCCATCCACCTCCCATCAGCACCAAATGTTGCGGTTTTTCACAGGCGCCAAGAGCTTGTTCAGCGGCATCACCCCGGCCGTGCAGGCCACACGAAACGCCTCCTACTTAGGCAACTTGAAGCCTGCAGAAGGCGCCGTCAAAGCATACACCAGACTTGGAAGAGGCCCTGCCTCCGGGAAGGGTAAAACAGCCGGACGTGGACAAAAAGGTCAGAAGGCCCGAGGCAGTGTTCCGCACTGGTTGGAGGGTGGCCAGACGCCCTACTACAAGCTTTTCCCCATTGTCGGGTTCAAGAGACCGCACCGCAAAATCTACCAGGAGATCAGTTTGCACCGGATCCAGGGATTCTGGAACGCGGGCAGGATCCCCTTGGAGGCGGGCGGCACGCTCACGATCCGCGCCATGCGTGAATGTGGGCTTCTTTCCGGGTCGCTCAAGGACGGAGTCAAGATTTTGGGAACGGGCGACTCGTTCTACAATGTGCCTTTGAACGTGGAAGCGTGCCAGGGCACCACGCGGGCCATTGCGGCCGTGCGCAAAACGGGGCATGAGTTCACCAGTGTGTACTTCACGAAGTTGGGGTTGCTTGCGCACGTCTTCCCCGAGCGGTTCCTCTTGAAAAAGGGCAGGGTGCCTTTGCAGGCGCGCCCGCTCCATAAGAGAGACATTGCCTACTACTCGGACCCGGCGCGGGGCGGGTACTTGCTCAAGGATCGCTCGTTGTTGTTGGATCACGTGGGCAAGCCCAACTTGCGCAAGGCCGCGGTCGAGAAGAGCGCCCTCGAGGCGCTGTTGGCGACTGCCCTGACGAAAACCCACACGGACTACGCGGAGTCGAAGATCGTGCGTCTAGCTGATCTCAAGCTCTAAGAAACCCGCCTGTATATATACGTATCTCCACTGGAGCAGACGAATCGAACCAAAATGAAGGAAAAGACTGCGTCTACGCTTTGCTGAAGCTGGACGTCTCCACGTCGACAAAGGTCCCGAGCAACGCCTCCACTATGGCCTGGATGTCCGCCAACGTGATCCGCGGGGGGGGCCTGTCTGGCCCGTTCGTTGAACTCGTAGCTGTACTTTCGTAGCGCAAAGTTGGCCGCTTTGTTGGTCATATGGTAGATCTCCCTGATGGCGAGCTTGTCGTTTGCCGACGATTGCGGGTTTGTCGAAAGGCCCCGGAGCCGGAGCCCGGAGAGCACAACCCGGCTCACTGCCTGCGAGATTTGCTGGCTGGTGGTGAGTGCCAGGGTACCTGCCACCGGAGGCTGCGGGGCCGATACCGGGCCCGGAATCTTCGAGGCTTTGGTGCCCAAAACGCGGTCAAAAACACTGGTGTCTGATCGGCCGGCACTCCCGAGTGTTTTTGAAATAAAAAACACGTCTTGGTCGCCGATTTTGCTCGCTTTTTCCCGGAACTCGGCTACTTGTTGGCGGACTGAGAAGTCAATGTAGTAACATCGTACCCGCGGCAGTGCTTTCTGGTCTAGATAGAAAACAAAGTATGTGTCGGTGCCCTCCAGCAGAGATTTGGCTAGAATGCCCACCGCCTCACTCAGACACACGAGCGATTCGTAGAAGTAGTTCTCTGTCTCGACGTGCTCGGAGTAGACGTCGAAAGGACCATTGGACACCAAGAAAAGCGGGATCCGCTCGTGGTAAGCCACACAGACAAAGTCTAGATGTGGGTCTACATTCGGTTGCTCCGTTGCTGCATCGCTCCAAATCTGGATATCCGCTAGGAGCCCTCTGTCGGTTTGTAGGGAGAAGGATGTAGATGGCATCGACCGTGGCACGTGACTTGGAATAGAGAAATGGCGGGTCGGAGGCCGGTCCAGTGGGCTAGATGCGGGCAGGTCTTGATGTCTGTTTTTGATTTGCCAATGGTAACTGTATCGGGAACGCCGGGACCTTTCTGTCGTATGAACATTATCGCCGTGGCTGGAGATATATCGGGACGTGGTGAGCAGTGCAGGACCGGGCACTTTGAGTAGAGAACGTCAGCTGTCATTCAGGTGCCTAAAACCACACCTTTCTGGTTATGAGTTGAGACAGGCAAATATGACAAATCTAACTAACTGGCATAAAGGGTTTTGATGGAGGAATAAAGCACTTGCACCCGTTTCTTCGGTTGCAATATCTCGAGCGCCGCACAGCGAGGGTAGCTGGTATTCGGAAAGACGCGGTTATGAAAGCTTCCGAGATAACTGGCTGTTCGGACTCCACAACTTTAGGACAATCTTCAGCTTCGGTTTTTCAAAAGAATACATGGGAACTTCGGCCTATTGAAGACAGGAGTAGATACGCTTTGGGGCAGACGAGTTCCGGCACACAACCATACATTAAGCGTTTACAATTAAACCGAACATATACCGATGCATATGGGACCTTGTGGTGGAGAGGTGACGAGCCTTTTGACGACCCTAAAGCGGTGTCTACCCGTAAGTGTTACAAGGTGCAGAGTGGCGTTCAGTTAATAGTTGCCCGGTTATACCAGGAGGCCTGTATCAATCCAGAACATAATCTTGTAGATTCACTTTTGCAATCAATCCACCCATCGGTCTGGTGGTTGAATAATTATTTACAGTGGTCTTCAAGCCCAACGCAGACAGATGCTGGTCACTTTATGATGAAGGACACAACACTACGAATGTGGTCTTATAGAGATGGCGGGCCAAATGTGGGCCTTTTTATTCAAATTCATGTTATATTTCGGTTTTTCAAAATAAAAGATGTTTTTACCTGCAACAAAGTACCATATATAGAAAACAGACAACGACTCCTTTGAACTCCTAAGGATTCAAGTGTTTTCGGGTCCATTTGTCCGTAGAGTCGAAATCGAAAAGTAGCCTTTTTTGTAGACTGTCTTGAAGTCTGCCAAAATGATGTGCTTTCCTCTTGTATGTTGGATTGGAAATTATTGAAATCAATTAGTTTCACGGGCACGATTGGACTGTCAGGCTAATTTGGCAAAATGGCAAAAGCCATGGGTGTTCTTTTTCATGGGTGCAATATGGTGGAATGCACTATGGGTAGCGGAAGAAAGAGAAGTATTACTGTCAGAGATTGAGATCCCGTACATTTTAAGGGCAATAGTAATAATACGAATAAGAAAACAATTTAAACTTAATGTCGCTATGGTAGCCCAGCCCCAGTTTTGGTGGCTGGAAAGCCGATGGCCATACGAGAATATCAACTGGTCCTGGCAATATATAGAAGACCCCGGCCATCCCATTCACCTCCGTGAACTTGAGTAGCCGGTAGATGATGAAAACACCAAAGATGGCGCATGAGCTACGTTGAGCAATCTCACTCGAGAAGCTCCAAGTGATGATGTGATGTGGTGGGCATGGCGCTGTGGAAAACCACAAACTTAGTGGGTGCAAATGCTAGACATCGCAGTCTTTCGCTCACAAACCAAAAATCGGTGATATTTCATCCACTTTCCTGGTTCTACAGCTCAATCATAGTGCGCCATGATGATAAAAAATATGTAAGAAATGTACTTTGGCTTGGGTGTGGGATTAGCCAGGTGCGCATGGCCCTGTGACCCACCGCTTGGCAGCACGCTCCTGATCCACACGAAAGCAATAACTCACAAGAAAGCAATAAGCCTAAGAACAACGGCAAAAATCAGAAAGAATGGAAAAACCCTAAGAAAACTTTGTCTACATCAGGAGGATATCAGCTTAGCTGTGAGCCAAAGCAAGTCTAAAATCTGCGCCTACCAGCCTGTTCCAAGGCCCTAATTCAACACCAATAAAGTCACCAACACAGTCAAAACAAGCCACCAACACAGTCAAAAAAATACACCAACACAGTCAAAAAAAATACACCAGTACAGTCAAAAAATACACCAGCACAGTCAAAAAAATCTACCGACACAGTCAAAAAAAACACCATCAAAGTCAAAAAGAGATACCAAAAACGGCCCCGCCAAGTCCCCGGTCGAGACCCAAAACAACGGCTCTATGTAAAGCCGCTATCTATAGGCCCGCTTCCAAAGGCCCCATTCCTGGTGGCGCGGCCCCAGCCCCAGCTCCCGCATCTACAAAACGCTCAGCCATTTCCCACGCCCTTCCTGGCCCCATACACTCCCGCGCGCCCAGGCGAAGTGTGCTATCAAATTTTTATGAGAGCAGACCCTCAAAACACAAGAGCCAGCAGCGTTTGCGCCACCAAAAAAAAAAAGACACCACCGCTTCTCCTCCCCAGCCACACCATGACGTCCAACACTTACTCGGTGGCACGGGTCTACGCAGACGCAAACAAGCAGAAGCCGCAAGAATACTGGGACTACGAGGCCCACACCATCGAGTGGGGCAGTATCCGCAACTACGAAATCGTCAGCAAAATCGGGCGCGGCAAGTACTCGGAGGTGTTCGAGGGCGTCAACGTGCGCAACGATGAGCCCTGCGTGATCAAGGTGTTGAAGCCCGTCAAAATGAAGAAGATATTCCGCGAGGTCAAGATCCTTAAGAACATCACGGGGGGGCCCAACGTGATCGCCCTTTTGGACATCGTGCGCGACGCCAACTCGAAGATCCCGGCGTTGATTTTCGAGCAGGTCAAGAACGTCGACTTCCGCGTGTTGTACGCCAAGTTCTCCATCCCGGACATCCAGTACTACTTCACGCAGCTCCTCATTGCCTTGGACTACTCGCACTCCATGGGCATCATGCACCGCGACGTCAAGCCGCAAAACATCATGATCGATCCGCAGAGCAAGAAGTTGCGCCTCATCGACTGGGGCTTGGCCGAGTTCTACCACGCGGGCATGGACTACAACGTGCGCGTGGCGTCGCGCTACCACAAGGGCCCCGAGCTTTTGATCAACCTACAACAGTACGACTACTCGCTCGACTTGTGGTCCGTGGGCTGCATGCTCGCGGCCATCATCTTCAAGAAGGAGCCGTTCTTCCGCGGCGACTCCAACAACGACCAGCTCGTGCAGATCGCCAAGGTCTTGGGCACCAAGGACTTGATGGCCTACGTCAACAAGTACGGCATCAAGTTGAGCGACGAGTACGACCCCATTTTGGGCAACTATCCGCGCAAGCCCTGGTCCGCGTTTGTGACCAAGGACAACCGCCACTTGGTGCTGGAGGAGGTGGTGGACTTGATCGACAAGTTGTTGACCTACGACCACCAGTTGCGTCCCACGGCGAAGGAGACCCTTGCCCACCCGTTCTTCTCCATGCAGTGAGGCCGTTGCGCCAAGCTCCTGGAGCGCCCTGCTTATATTCCCTTAGATTCGTACGGCTCCCGCAAGCTCTCGACCTGTGCACCAACCTCCGCGTGGTCATATATTAACCTCCGAGCGGTCATCTAGCCGCGCCCACTGCACCTGCGGGCCAACCTCGTTGTCTAGCCGCGGTGCTAGGACGAGTGCTCGCCTCGGAACTTGATGCTTTGCAAACCCGTCTACTGCCGCGAGTAGGTGCCGCTCGCTAGATCTCTCAGCCTCATCCAGCCTTCCGGGGCTTCTAATAATTAAAGTGTATAATAGAATGTGAAACCATAGAGTGTCTGTGGTTGTATGTGCTCGACATCCAGACATGTACGTCCGTGTGGGGTGCGCTGCCTCGGCTTCTCCAGCAGGCGGTGCAGTCCCAATGCACGAGTCTTCCATTCCCAGCCCTTCTCCTGGGCTGCTTCTCACCAGCTTCCACTTTTTGGGAGCAGAGTGTTTTTGCCGCGCAATCCACGAAACGTTGGTGTCCTGCGGTCCCCTCTACAGTTCCATCCAGTCCGATGGTCTAATTTTAGACGTGAATCCAGCTTCAGGCAGGTGGTCCATGGCCACGTATACCAGGCACTTCGATCGCTTCATGTCTCACGTGAAATTGGCATTTTCAGATATCAAATCAAGTGCCTTATCACTCCGGCATGCTGTATATTCATAATATCTTGTTATCAAATATAGAAGGGTTCATGGCGCCATACGTGCCCCATACTCTGCCAGTGTGTCTGCGCTAAAGCAGGATCGAAATGGATGACGGAGTGTATATTTGATTCAGCACATCGCAACCAGGCTTCACCTGTACTTACAGAAAACGTTCGTCCTTGAGACGTCTCTTATATGAAAGACAGATCCGTCTCTGCGCATGCGGCTTGATGTATCGAAACAAGTGAAACTCAAAGCATGCCCTTATAATTTTACGTTATTCAAAAAAGAGAACATTCGGAAGACTATCCAAAGAAAAAATAAGTTTAACCAAATCAAGAAACTCGAGAAGACATTCATCCGCCTCGCTCTGTCACTGAGTCTGGTATACATGAGGTTTTTCCTCCTGTTCTGTATTGTTTAGACACGCGTCTGCGTTTCAGAAGGGTTTCGGAATTGTCAGACCGACAAGATCTCGTCCGCTCTTCAAAATTGACCAGTGACGTGTACAAAAATCTCTCGGATGCAATAATTCTACCATAGTAACAAATTTCTGACCAACTTTGGCGTCTGTCCAAGTTTGACCTTATCATTTTATAGACGGCAAGGCGCGTTGTATACACTCCCTGCTTCTGGGACTGCAACTTCTTCCATCCAGCGCCGCTTGGTATATCTCAAACGCGTCCGTTTCACCTTTTCGTCATAGACGCCCTTCACTAGTCGAAACAATATTTTATCGGAAATGCTTGGAATACATACTGGCTCTCCATCTCCAGGAATCCCGAATTCAAAACCCAGTTAGGAAATCAGATAGCCAACCCGCGTCGCGCTTGGAGTAATATCTGACATCGCCCCAGAATTTCCCATTTGGGCTGCATCGGTTGAGACCTCGCCAGCATTAAAAAAAGCCACAAACCCTCAAACTCTTACTCCTTCGCTTCATCACCTCGCAAAATAAATAGCTATTGATTCCACAATGACAGAGTCCTGGGTCCTATCGCAGCAACGCACGATGGCTCGCTGGGTCTCGTCGAAAATTACCCAGGAAATACATGATATTTCGGTGGATTTGTGCGACGGTTTGGCGCTTCTTGAACTTGTCAACGCAATTGCAATTGAGACAAAGGCTTCTCCGTACAGACTCACGCCGATTCACCGAAGGCCAAAAATCCCGTTGCAAAAACTGGAAAACGTTGCTGATGTACTTGAATTTTGCCGTCTCTTATTACAAGTGAACACGTGCAATATCAGCGCTGAAGATGTCGTTTGTGGAAACACCAAGCTTATCCTAGGGCTTATTTGGTCTTTATTTGTATACTCACTGGCAAACATGGTCTCGGTGAAATCGGAAAGCAAGTCCTTTGCCGAAATAAAATGCATTTTGTTGCGGTGGCTAAACATCACGGGCAAAGCCAAAGCGCTACCTCAAATCACTAATTTCAACACAGATTGGTCACTTCAACAGGACAAGCGGCCTGACTTGGTGTTCGCCGCAATTCTAGATTTCTACGTGCCCAATGTGGTCGATTACAAGAAACTCCTAACAGGAAAAAGACTCTCTGGGCTTGGCGAAATCATTGCCCTCGCTGATGCATCTTTGGGTATTCCGGACTTAGCGCTAGCGGAAGACTTCAACGTGCTTGTACCAGATGATAAGTGCATTCTATTCTACGTGCTCGAGTGGTATTTGTTTTTTGAAATACATAAAAGAGAAACGCATCTTGACTTGAAAGGAAGCTCAGAAGTCTCTAAAACTGTCAACCATGACTTTGGTCCTTTTTTCTCAACTGTGATTCGAGCCTTCAGGCTCAAGAACATGTACGACACCAAATCTTTGCGCCTCCTGAACCGTATCAATGCTTCTTTCAGAGAACTAGAAGATTGGCTTGAGCTTCTCGAAACTCTCGACAAAACTGCCAATTTGGTGAGCTTTTTTGATCAATTTTGTGCGGAAATAGATGACACCAAGGACTTGGAATCACAATTGAGCGCACGAGAGTATTCTAATGAAATTGAGGCACACGTAAAATGTTTGCAAAATGCCTTGAGTAAGAGCATGAAGTTCAAACGTCAGCTGAAACCCGAAATCATGTACAGAGATATTCCGGAGCTTCGAAATCTCTCGAAAAATCTCGACTCTGAATTGAAAATAGGTGGTTTTCGATACCCGTATGATCCAATGAAAGCTCTCTCCCTTGACTGCTTGCTCATGAAACTACGGCTGCTTTTGGAAGCAGACGCACGATTCACCGACCTGATCAACAATTTCCTTGCGAAACTTTTTGAAACAAGCGTGAGGAATATAGATGAGTTTATCAGCTACATGGCGAAGTCTCTTCCAAAGGCTAACAAGCATGTCTCAGAAGCTGCACATAAATTTGCGGCAGGGCTAGAGTTACTTCTTGAATTGAGAAACAACATGCACGAGTACCAGCTGATTGAAAAACAAGAGCATACGACTTCAGACTTGAAAATTCTTGCGGAGTCGATTGCATTCTACGATCTACCTGCAACTCCCACAACACCAAAGGACTCGCAGTTTCAGTTATTCCAAGCAGAAGTGGACAAACAAACCAATCGTGCCAATCTCACATTGGTAGACTTAAAAAAGTTCCTACAGAAATTGATGCCATCTTCACAGTTCAACGGTCCAGAGCTCCAGGGTATTATTCTGCTAGTTCCCTCGCGGTGTTTTTTGCCTCGTTCAGAAAGCAATGACTTTAATACAGTAGTTCATATGGATGACAGCGACGACCCTGACTCAGTTTTTGACAACGCTCTGAAAACCCTTGAATGCAAGCTTTTAGGAGCACAAGGAAGAATCTACGACTTGACGCTGCTTGTGCAACGAATGGAGTCGGGATTCAATATCTGAGGCGGGGTTATACATCCGTGCATCCCATAAATAAACTTTAGGAATAGACCCTCATTTGGCTTTCGAATTCTTGTAAAAATGAACATCTCGCTCTAAATGTCTGAATTCAATATTGAAGAACCTTTGACTTCGAATGTCAGGCCCGCCTCCGACGCGCTCGTGACCATAAGAATCATCAAGTCCTTTCCTTACAGAAACGTGAAGAATCATGTGATGACTTCAATTAATTTGAAGACTACGACTCCTTCTCAGTTGTTGGAGAGTATTCAAAAAATCATTGATACTACCGGCTCCCTCAGGCCCTACCGAAACGTAAAGTATGACACGGTGAAGGTCTACACCCATGCGCATGGCTCGAAATCAATGAACTTGGTGATCAATTTCGAGAATGACGAGAAAGATATTTTGCACTGTGAGGACAAGACGAATTTGGTGCAAAAGGAACAATGTTTGTGGGATTTGGGGGTCGAGAATGAAACTGAAATCAGCATTTTCAACTACCAAGACTATGCAGCGTACAAGGCCAATCCAGAGGAGAAGTGGTAGATGGAGCGATGAGATGAGGCCTCGGAAAAAATAAAAAAAAGGGCTTCGATTTATCTGGATAATTAGCCTTGACACGTGCTTGAATTTCGGCAGCTGCATGATATATCATCCCATACTTTTGGGTTTTCTGTATATTAATTGGTATGTGTTTCTTGGTGTCGCTGATACATCTGGGAATTCTAGTGGTGCATGCAATATGTGCTGGAAGTGTATGACAGTAAAGCACTAAAGCCATTCAAGTAGAAACAGGGCGGGCAACAGTCTGGCGTTTTTCTCTCCGGTATACGCAATCAAGCTAAATCCAATTGTCTTCCAAAATTGAAGCTACAATATACGTATTGTTAAAAATATTTAACGGTTCCTGCCTAGTGTCCCTCACATGACCTCTGAGACTACATATGGCTAGCTCTACTTTCGAACAGGAAGGAACACCTGTCATAAGAGGCAAGGGATCTAGCTCATCTCCAGGCCGGTTTTTTTTTCTTTGCAAACAGCACATATACGGTTTCCTGTATCTAAAAACACGACACTGCAATAACTGGGTACTGCGGCACGTTCACCATGAAACTCCTGTCTCATGTGCTCCTCGTATTGGCCCTGTCATTAGTTGCAAAAGCAGCGCTTATTTGCCCCGACGGCGTCAACTCAGAATGTTACCCGCAAACATTTGAACCCTCAAAAAACTGGCAGGTCATCCGGGAAGGACAACAAATTCCTGCGGGCTTGCATGTCCGTGTCAATTTGGAAACTGGAGAACAAGAGGCCCGACTTTTGCTGTCTGAAGATACCCAGGAGCATTCCGAGCTAGTGCTTGTCGAACAACCAGAGGAAAAGCCCGAAGATCTTTTACCTTCTCGCTTTAGGACAAAACAAGCGCTGCTGGCTGGCGATGTTAACTTGCTGGAATACGAGTCTGCTGTCCATGAGGTCCTTCAGTATACCGAAAACTCGGACACAAGAAAGCTAGAATCGGCGCTCGACACGTTGATCGAGCTCAGCCATGACATTGATTATGGTGTGGAGCTCGCGTCCCACCCAAAGGTCTTCAGGTCGATGAAGGAGATAGCTGAGCTGCAAACTGCCAACGATAACATTTCCGAGAAGATATACCGAATCATGGGAGCGTCCTTGCGCAACAACCCGGAGGCCGTCACGCATTTTGTGCAGAACAACGAGTCTGGCCTTATCCCTGAGCTCTACCGGATGTTGAGTATGGGCCAGGCCTCGGATCTTGTGCAAAAGAGGATCCTAGGCGTGATCCATGCGCTTTTCATGGACAGCACGTATGCAGCGACAAACTTGAACACCGACAACGCGAGATACACGGAAGGCTTGACCTCTCTTATCGCAGTCTTTCCCAGGATGGGAGATGCCGCTAAAGAGAGGCTCATGCTTATTCTCACGGACTTGAGCTTGTTTGGTGCAGACCCGGGAGACAGTACAATTGACGCAAACAAGGCGTTTTCGGCGTTTTTGCAGAGACTCTTGCACCAGCAAGCAATGTTTCTGGAGCCCCAATTCCAGACCATGTTCCGGTCTTTGGCCGAATTGCACCAGTCAGAAGACTTGCCCGTTTCACAAGACTTTTTGCACTGGCTCAGTAAACAGGCCGAGGAACGGAAATCTGCAATCAGGCAGCGAGACCAGGTCTACACAGATGCCGATGCTGACTTCGACTCGTTTCTTACTGCTGCAAGGCACTTTATTTTCGGCAACCCAAACGCGGCCAGGAAGACGTATGATGAGTTGTGATGGGATCAGCAGCGGGTGTGTTTTATGGTCGGCATGGATGGGTTCAGCGTTGGAATCGAATCCGGCTGTGGAGTCTGGCTTATGCGGCTTGAATTGGAGGCGCTCATGGCAGAGGCTGTTAGGTGTGATTCCAGTTCTCTTCACGATGGGTTTACTGTGACTCGAAGCAGTCTGTCGATGCCAAGGCCCAGGGAATTTCGCAGCTTGAGACGTTTAATTCATATCACTATGAATCATTACCTACCCGACTACATACTTCGATGGACAAATCTTAAAAATATACAACACGTCATATTTCGCACAAGTCTCTGCAATAACAGACAATGTGCAAGGCGATTCTCGGCAGCGGACACGCCGATGGGCAGCTAGCCAGACATCGGACACTTAGTTCTACTCACTGGCCAGAGAGCCAGACACTTGATACTACGAAGACTACACTGAATAGCCTACAAAGACGCCAGTTCTACATCCCACCCCGCGCAGCGCGCAAAGGTTTCTAGTTTATCGGATGAAGTGTATTATGCCACGATGGTTCCATGTGTAGGGTGTATGGTACAGAAGACAGAGCGCATAGCTTAGTCGAACAAACCGAAACCCATGTCGTCGTCAGACTCCTCGGCAGCGGCCTCCTCCTTCTCCTCGGCAGCAGCCTCGGCACCGGCAGAAGCAGCACCGTCAGAGCCGGCGGCAGCTGGGGCACCAGAAGGAACAGAGGACAACTTCTCGTTACCCTCGGCAATCAACTCCTCGACGTTCTTGCCCTCGACCTCGGCCAACAACTTCTCAACCTTGTCCTCCTCGACCTCGATGGAGACAGACTCCAAGACCTTCTTGACGTCGGCGGCAGATGGGGAGGTGTTACCGGCGTTGACCAACAATAAGTAAGCAGCTAAGTATTTCACTGGTGGGGTTAGTACTGGGGATATAATGCCGGGGCTTACGCGATTGAGTCGGGCCGGGAACCACTAAAAAATGGAAACTGATAAAATGCTGGTTTTGAGAAATGCATGACGTCTTTGAAGTGAGATTTTTCCTCGAGTCCACGCTGTTTTCAAGGGGTGCTGCGACGTCATTTCATGAGGCCTGTAGCCCACTAGACACCTGTTCGCCAGCCAGCAAAGGGGGCAAAGGCGGCAGATTATGAGACCGTTTCGCAAACTATGGCATTTTTGGGCAGTAAAAATCGCAACATCTCGTGATTCCAGCACCAATCGGGGAACTAGACATACTTTTTGATGTGGTTGTATAGCTCTAGAATGGACGGTTTCCATCTCGAATAAGTTTTTCGCAGACCGCACCGTACTCGGTCGACTGCACACAAGGCCAGAAAACAGTCACTCGTGTGCACGTGACCCGTGGTGGCGCATCTGCAGGCTTTTGCCAGGGTGGTGCTTTCCCAAAATACATGTTATTGCCAATTCAGAATCCAAACGAGGCATGTCGCCCTTGAAATGGATGCTTCGTTAATTTTCTCCGCAGTCACTGGCATCTCGTAGTGCTCTGAGCCACAATTAGCAACTTTGCTCCAAAACCTGCAGCTTGCCTACCAAGCTCATGGAAGTAAGATCAAGAAATGGGAAGTCTGGCTTGTTGACACCTGCTCAGTTGGATCAATTGGGCCGGCCATCCTACTGGACATTTCTTGTGCCAACTGCTCTCTTGGGCCAGAAATTACAGTAATCACCACACTTCTTTCTGACCCCCGCTTGCCAGGTCCCGCCGCCCGCAGCGACGTTATACGTCAGAACAAGTATTGATGTTTATGATGAACAAGTACCTTCAAGCATTCGCCAGTTTCAAACATTGAAACATTCAAACAAGGGACACGCGTTTTCAATGTTTCTGATTCCTCTGAGGCCACTGGCTGAAACGCGCGTTTGATTATTGACCTCGGCAACACTAGGACCGGCTGCAAAATTAGACAGTTTGAGGTACGCCGGTTAACTCTTCAAAAAGAATTTATGAAAAAAGATTGCAGCACCACAATTTCGCATATGGTCTCCCACTACACTACTCAGTGTGGCCCTATGCAGTTTAACTAACGTTGATCGGACGGGAAACAGTGCTTCCTGCATGGTATGGCCGCAACCGAAAGCTCATGTTTTAGTTTGTACATTAGCGTCACATGTATTTATCAAAGTGCTTATCCGTCGGGGTAATTTACTTCATATAATTGTCAGCTTCTGTATATTAAAGAAAATTTGAAACAGCTGGCAAAAAGCTGAAGAAAATTATATGGGATGATGACGTAATATCCAATACGTAAACAGATACGTGCCATGAGGACTGTCCAGGCCGTGACTAACGGAAGGGGACGGGCCGAGCTAAGACACTTGGTACGTAGCTGGGAGCTGTTTAAAGATTTTTTATATATATTCGTTATATGGTTTTGCCCCTTTAATCAGATGAATCTACCAAAAAAAAAAGCAATGGCATTTAATTAATTTTGTTTATGGGCAGAAGTATTTCTTAAGGGAAGCACATCCTCCTGGGGAAATTTCATGAATTGGTGCTTGCACATTCTCACGTAAGCCAATGCTGCGATCTATTATGGGTTTCTTCATAGTTTTTCAATAGTGGTGGGGTTTTACAACCCTCCAGTGGCACCCTATAATATAATGTTTTTTCTTAAAAAAATCAGACCAGATTTGGGAAACATATGCGTGCCAAGAAGACGGTCTAAGCCGTGGTTGACAGAAAGGGACACACTAGAGACATATTAGCGAACTGACAAGAGATCTTTACAATAATTGTATAGTTTTGTTCCTTTAATCAGATAAATATACTAAAAGAATGCAATTTTGGAAGTACACTTCGGGAAGCGAAAAATTAACTTAACTTCTCATAGCCACTTCAACGCTCGTAATTTAGCAACTACGATAAGAAAATTATCTTTGAAATCAATGACATTGGGTTTAATATGTAAACAGATGCGTTCCGTGAAGACTGCCCTAGCCAGGGCATTAGATTATGTTACGGCACTTGGCAAGTGATTGAAATATGATCAAAGAAAACTTTTTACTTCCTTTTATGAAGTCAAATCTAGCATGTTAAATGAACAAATAAGGTGAACAAAATTGGCCAGAAGTTCAAAAATATCCTGAAGAACTATTTTTTCTAATAGTTTGTGATACAATTCATGGGAACCCTCCATCACCTCTTCTAATCAATATGGCTTTGAGATCTTTAATGTTCCATTTCAGCCTGATTGAAACTATCAACTTTTATCATCGACTCAAGTGACAAACCATTAAGAGCCAAGTGCTCACAAAAGATGTTAACACATATGTCAATGACACCGAGAATTACAAAAAAAAAAACATGATTACACCTTTCGAGAAAGTAAGAATAGCCGAATAAGCTACGACAAATCCAAGCTTCTCGGCTTCAGTTGAAGTTAAGCCAGCAATAACATCTTCTCTTCCGCAGATCTTATCTTTTTAAAGACCTGACGACATATTCGGGCATCCCACCAAAAGGTGTCAACTGGCCAAAGTACAACCGACTTCGCATTTATGACCCGGCAACTGGGTTATCGAAGCCCTGACTTGATAAGCCGGGTGTTAGGGACGAACATCTCTGTCAGTTCCAGCCCCACTTTACGGACACTAAACAACTCGACAAAGTGACTCCAAAATCCAAACAATGTTCCATAAATTCACAAGCCGGAACTAGTTTCCTGGTCAAAAAGGGGGGGACTAGGTCTCATCGAAGGATTGACACATAATAAAGGACACCCGGTCGTGGTATAGGCAGCTACTCTCCAAAATGATGACAGATGTTATACTCAATATCTGAGAACCCGAATGCTTCACCACATGAGGAAAGTGGTATCGGGAAATGAAAAAAAAAAAATGGCTGCGAAATGTTGCCATATTCGAATGATCTAATTCGGCTCATGCTCACTATAACGGGCGGGTTATTTATTCAATTGAATTGCACACTCACGAGAAAAGAAAATCACATGTCTCCACTCGTGAGTAGTCCCCCTGTCAAGGGTCGGACCAGAACCTGGATCCAGTTCACGATACATAGGTGACCAGATCAGATGAGTAAATATATGGCCCAGCCAACGAACGACACAGAAAAAACGAACCCAGAGAAAAAAAAAACACAGATCATACCTGGAGGTCACACTCCCCCAGAGGCACCAAATTCGGCGAAATTGCTTACTAATTTTTGGCGGCTAAATAAGTGTGAGCACCCTTCCAACTCAACTGATAAGCCGCCAGGATTTTAATCAAGAGACGGAAAGTTTCTTTATTTAAATATCCGCACCCGGACCCCACGCTATTCGGCTTACGGCACGTCGTCAATAATCGAGATTGGTGAGAGGGGGCATGGATAAAGTAGCTAATGACCGGTCAGTAATTCGCAGCTTCTCGCCTTTACCGTATCTTCTCCTCTGCAATCTCTCCTCCGAAATCAAGTACGTATCCAGCTATTTTGTAAGCGGAATCTACACGAATAATCGTTTAATCAGCGAGCTAGGCCCTGCCAGAGTCTATGAAGCTCCTTAGTCAGTGCTATATTGATACCAATCTTCACCGCAGCTCTGGCCCCAACAAAGACATGTAGACTGGGCCTATGCATTTCTAACGTCAGCTCCCACTCTATACCCGGCCCGAACACACGCCTTGCAAGTGAGGTGATAATTTTCCATGGACTTCTTATACTTGTTTTGTTAAATTAGCCCCGATGGTCGAGGCCTTCAACTCCGACAGTTTCCTCGTCCTCGCCATTCATATGTGATTGTGGTCATATTGCTGTCTATCCTACATCTGCATCTCTCGTACTTTGTATATTATGATCCGTTCTTTTCTAGTCTTGACACATTCCCCTGCATCGAGCAATGGTCGAAAGTATGATTTGCAGACCAGGTAACTATTCACCAGAGGCATGTGCGATTACGCAATCGCTTATAAATTCCTGCCTGCGAACAGGTATCTCGGGCGAGCATCACCTGTCTTCTAACGTTCCCAAGCCTGGCTGTTTCCTTGTTGCTATCCGAAAAAGCAAAGGCCACGTTCAATTGCAAAATCAGAAATGACTCACAAAGAATTTCCAGCTCTTAGTGCTGACAACAAAGATCTCCTAGTAGAGGAACTTCTCCAATGGTGCTTGGCCAATGGGTTGGTCATGTACCCGCCCAACTTCCACAAGTTTTCTGCCAACAACGCTCCCATCACATTGTTCCCAACTCCCTTTCCCAAGGACATGTTTGAGCGTGCAGTCGCGGTCCAAAAACTGTTCAATTCATTGTATGCCAGCGTGGTGGCTCGCCAGAAACCCTGGCTTTTGGAGGTGGTCAGCAAATTGGCTGTTTTTGACGCCGGCTTCACGGGCAAACTCTATGAAACCTACACCAAGGCTGTCGAAATAGGCGGCGGGTCGGTGGTGCAGCCGTTGACTTTGGGGGTGTTCCGCTCAGATTATATGTACGACGAGTTGACCCATGCTATCAAGCAGATCGAATTCAACACTGTGTCTGTCTCCTTCGGTGGCTTGTCCTCCAAAGTAGGCCATGCCCACACGTACTTAAACAAACGCGGGAGCTACGACGACAAGTACTCGCAAAAGTTTTACCAAGATGAAGAGCTTCCGATCTCCAAGTCCATTTCTGAGATCGCGCTGGGTCTAGCTAAGGGCAACTTCTTCTATAATGATCACAAGGAAAACACCAGCACTGTGATTTTGTTTGTGGTTCAAAATGGCGAGCGCAACTGCTTTGATCAAAGGCATATCGAGTACGAGTTGCTAGAGAAACATGGCTTGAAATCGTACAGACTCAGTCTCGAGCAGATCCAAGAGCACACCACCATCAATCAAGGAAACTTGTATATCAAGCTGACGATGGATGAGGTCTCTGTGGTGTACTATAGATCGGGATACGCGCCTCTGGACTACGAGAGTAATCCAGAAGCCACATGGGACGCCAGACTCCATCTCGAATCTACGAAAGCAATAAAATGTCCGTCTCTTTTGACTCAGCTCTCAGGTGCAAAGAAAATACAGCAGGTCTTAACTGTGCCTGAGGTTGTAAGATCGTTTTTGCCTGATATATCCACCAAGGAACTCGACAACCTCTTATCGACTTTTGTGAAAATCTACCCTCTCGATGATTCGGCGGAAGGGACAGCAGCAAAAAAGCTAGCTTTTGAATCTCCGGAGAAGTTTGTATTGAAACCACAACGTGAGGGCGGTGGTAACAATGTCTACAAGCAAAACATCCCTGGCTTCTTAAAATCATTAAACGAGAAGGATTGGGGCGCTTACATTTTGATGGAACTTATCAATCCGCCAACACATGGGAACACCATCTTGAGGAATGACGAGTTGTACCAAGAAGACATAATATCTGAGTTGGGAATTTTCGGGAACGTGGTGTTCAACGAAAACACTGGCGATGTGCTCTTGAATGAGAATGCGGGATTTTTGTTGAGGTCCAAGTTTAGCTCTAGTGACGAAGGAGGAGTGGCGGCAGGTTTTGGTTGCGTTGATAATGTCTACCTCTACTAAATTTTGATAAGCACTACAATACTGATACTTGTGAATTCAATTCTTCGATTTATACTCATAAAAATCAAGCTCCCAGACTCTCACGAAGTCTTTTCTGCTCCCCCCTGACCCTTTTTGCTGTTTTCGACAGAATTTCCCCAAAACTCAAGACCCTCTGTCTCACCTTCGGGTCTTGTGGCTTCACGGCTGATGAATTCCTCAAAATCACGGTGATACTTCGCAGTCCACAAAGCTATGCCGATATTGTTAGTATACATGAAACAAATGGTAAAGGCCGGGATCATTTCCAAAATCAAGGCAATAAATCCGAATGAAGTATAATCAGAATGATACTTCTTGAAAAAATGATTGATCTGTGCGTGGTCCCACATTTCAAGCTTGAAGTAGTGCTTGTGTGCCTTGTACCCTTTGATAGGTGCCTTTGCTATGAGAACAACAAGTGGGCCAATCAAGGGAATAATTCCCAAAATCGTATATAGTATCTCGCGTAAAAGGAATGGCAAGGTTTGGTTACAGAGGCGAAATTCGAGAGACGAGTCGTGTATGGTTCGACCTCTCATGTCCGTATAGCGTGCCACAATTTCGGCAGCACCTTCATTTGTCAACACACGCTCGAAAATGGAAGCTTGTATACGGCGCATGAAAAGAAATTGCAGTAGTGTTACTGTTATTCGACGAGTCACGTCAAGCAATGTGATAAACGCCGAAATGAAGCCAAACGGACCAGTGACCATTACCACCATTGCCAAGTATGGGGGGAAAACTGTGATGAGCAAAGTACTAAAAACCAAGATCAGGATAAGTGCTGATGGAACACAGATAGCAAGAAAAGGCATCCAAAGCTGAGAGTCGTTGGCGAAGTACTGAATACCCTGGCATTGTTAGTATTGTCTCTGATGAAATGGTTGCCCTTAGGGAAGTGGCGGATACAAACCTTGAACGGAGCCATAAAGGAATTGTTGAAACATGCGTCTGAGAGCGCTACTTTCCAATTACACTTTTTCTCCTCGATCATAGTGGTTCTATTTTTTTTTGTGGCGTGAGTTTAGTGGTTTTCTTTCCAAACTAAGATAAAAAAATGGGTGCAAAAACTCCAAGGTATCACGAGGCTATGCGCGGTACTAGCACCTTCGCCTAATACATCACGGCATTTCTTTATAAACGCCAAATATGAAATGAACAGTTGAAATATTCCAAAGATATACCGGTGAAGGGAAATTTCTTACATGGAATATCTATTTTATTGCCATTACACCTCTTATTTCTTTTTGGTAGATTAATTTGATTAAAGGACCAAAATTATATAAATAATGTGTGTAAAAAACCTTTAAACAGTTTCCAGCTACGAACCAAGTGTCGAATCTCGGCCCGCCCCCTATCAGTTTGAAAGAGCAATATAGTGTCTGCTTCAACCTGATGTCAGGAACTACGTATAAGAAAGACTTTGATCCTGAGACAAATAAAAACGTCATACTGAAGCAATATCCACTCTGCTTTTCAATAAGAATTTAAGTAGCAGTTTATGTCACAGGTTCTTTTGGTTCTAAAGCTTCGAGTTTCCAACAATATAATGGTACCCAACTGCTTCAACTCAGAAAATCGACGTGGATTCAAGTAGCTCTCATCGTGTAGCTCACCAGATCTGCAAACATGTTCTAGATATCCAGGCCCCGAGGGGCAGATATTTCACTTCGGCTCATGAGCTCGGCAATTTTGATTTTTTTAGGCAGGACTCTTTGTACTATAGAGAGAAGCAACTCTAGATTGTACTGAGTCGAGAGCAAAATATGTGCAAAAAAGATAATGGACGAGTCCGGATTTGAACCGGAGACCTTTCCCATGCTAAGGGAACGCGCTACCAACTGCGCCACACGCCCTGAATGGTCCCTAGCAGGATCGAACTGCTGATCTTGGCGTTATTAGCACCACGCCTTAACCAACTGGGCCAAGGGACCTGTTCTGTGGTGTTTCAAGCTGCCAAATCTTATAAAGACCTTGATCAATTTTTTCGAAGAAATTATCAACTGCCTAAGGGCGATTTTTCGAGATAACAGAAGAACTCCAAAAGGACTGAAATGTTTTTTTCTCATATGAGGATGAATTCCGGGCCAGAAGTCAAGTTTTCTCCAACAATATCGTATCTGGGAGCTGTTCAAAGGTTCTTTTGTATTCAATTTTGTATAGTCTTGCTCTCTTAATCAGATAAATATACCAAAAAAAAACAAAATACCAAAAAAAATAATGATTTGAGCCAACAGCTACAGGAGAATTTTCCTAGTAATTTATGACCTAATTTCCAATATGTAAACAGATATGGGCCGAGAGGACCGTCCAGGCCGTGATTAACGAAAGGGTTTGGGCCGGGTTTCGCCACTAGGTACGTATTTTAGACTTCACAGTTTTTTTTTTCCTTGAATGAGATGAGTCTTCTGGAGATCAAAAGAAGTACTGGGGATAAAACACACCTTTATATTCTGCTCACTCAAGCAAAAACGACAATCTGGAACCCTGAAATTGGGTCTGATTTCGCTGTTTGTCAGCAAATTGAGGTCGGTTCTGAAAGCAAATAAGGCACAAACATGATTCACACTTCATCACCGACAACCTGTGTAATGTGGGACTCTATTGATCTTACATGAAAGAATTTGAGTGGAAAGAAGAATGAATATCTCGCTTAGTATTGAGACCGTAGTCCAGGTACACTCAGCTCTTCGGGAAAACAAGTCTCAGAGGGGCTGTTCATGGAGAAAACAAATACAGGTGCATTTTTCTTCTCGAAGCTATAACATCATATGATGCCAGCTACTTTAAAAAAAAAAATGTTAAATTGGAAGTGTGGATCACACTTCTTTTTTTCATTCTCTGGTAATTCTGCCAATTTTCTACTACCTGATTCTTTTCGAATGCCCCAGAAAAATGCAGTCTTAGCAAGTTAGAACAGAAGGCTCCCGGGTCCCATTAAGAAGCCCAAAAGAACCTTGCTATATGGGAAACTAAAAAAAAAAAATTAGCAGATGGTGTGAAAATTTTGAAAGATTGTCCGCCTCGGCTCGCCCAGATTATTCTATGGCCGCGAATCAGATCGGGTAATGTGAACGTACAGTGACCGATAGTATCCGCCTGCTACTACAAGGAGATTCTTCGCTTTATGCAAAACAGAAGCACCAAAACTATTTCGGTTTCTACATGGCCATCAACGAAGATCACTTTAAATTTCATACATCTAGTAGCTCGATATATAACTGGATCGTGTCAGTTCTCTGCGCTTACAGGTTAGAAGTATTGGGCTAGCATCCCGAAACACAATCACATTACACCCCATCATAATTTTTGCAACAAAAGCAAAATCAAAAAGCCCCGCACATTCAGATCAACAAAGAGCGCTACAGCTCTCCGGAAATGGGTCTGCAAACTGCAGCTGGTATGACATGCCGTTGGCCATAACCAGTCTTTGACTCACGAGGGACGGCATAAAGAAAGCGCACCGGCAGCTGCTACAACAAAATTTTAATTTTCGATTGTGGGGCCACCAGCAGATTCTCAGAACCACCGTTTTCACGCACATTTATCTCCGTAATGTCCAGTGAAGAAGCCAAGCAAGTTAACGAGCCTTCAATCAAGGAAACCGCCGCCCCAGCCGAAGAGGTCATTTTGGGCGAGGACGGCCAACCTTTGTCGAAAAAGGCCTTGAAGAAGTTGGAGAAGGAGAAGGAGAAGGCACGCAAAAAGGCCGAAAGAGAGGCACAGTTGGCCAAGGAAAAGGCCGAGAAAGAAGCACAGGCCGCTAACGATCCTGCCAAGGCCAACTACGGCAAGTTGCCCTTGATCAACTCGTCGAGCAAAGACGGGCTTGTGAGAACCAACCTCTCATCCTTGTCTGCCGCCAACGACGGCGAGGAGATTGTGTTCAGAGCCAGAGCACACAACTCCAGACAGCAGGGAGCCACCATGGCGTTTTTGACTTTCAGACAGCAACAACACTTGGTCCAGGGCCTCATCAAGGCCAATGGCGAGTCGATCTCCAAGCAAATGGTCAAGTGGGCCGGCTCCATCAACTTGGAGTCGATTGTGTTGGTGCATGGAGTGGTGAGAAAGGTTGATGAGCCCATCAAGTCTGCCACCGTGCAAGACGCCGAGATACACGTGACCAAGATCTACACCATCCAGGAGACCCCTGAGCAGTTGCCCATGTTGATCGAGGACGCCTCCAGATCCGACGCCGAAGCCGAGGCCGCTGGCTTGCCTGTGGTCAACTTGGACACCAGATTGGACGCCCGTGTCATTGACTTGAGAACCCCCACCAACCAGGCCATCTTCAGAATCCAGCACGGTATTTCCGCGTTGTTCAGAGAGTTCTTGTCGAACAAGAAATTCACCGAGATCCACACCCCGAAGATTCTCGGCGCTGCCTCCGAAGGTGGCTCCAACGTCTTCGAGATCTCGTACTTTAAGAGATCTGCGTTCTTGGCGCAGTCCCCACAGTTCTACAAGCAGCAATTGATTGCGGCCGACTTCGAGAAGGTGTTTGAGATTGCCCCCGTGTTCAGAGCCGAAAACTCCAACACACACCGTCACATGACCGAGTTCGTGGGTTTGGACTTGGAAATGGCCTTCGAGGAGCACTACGACGAGGTCATGGAAGTCTTGCAGGACTTGTTCATCTTCATTTTCTCCGAGTTGAAGACGAGATACGCTGACGAAATCAACACTGTCAGAAAGCAGTTCCCCGTCGAGGAGTTCAAGTTGCCCGCCGACGGCAAGATGGTCAGATTGCATTTCAAGGAAGGTATCGCCATGTTGAGAGAGGCCGGCAAGGATGTCGATGACTTCGAGGACTTGTCCACCGAGAATGAGAAGATCTTGGGTAAGTTGGTCAGAGACAAGTACGACACTGACTTCTACATCTTGGACAAGTTCCCATTGGCCATCAGACCTTTCTACACCATGCCATGCCCCGAGGACCCAAGATACTCCAACTCTTACGACTTCTTCATGAGAGGCGAGGAGATTTTGTCGGGAGCTCAGCGTATCCACGACCCCGAGTTGTTGAAGGAGAGAATGGCTGCTCATGGTGTCGACCACACGCAGGAAGGTATCAACGACTACGTCGACGCTTTCACCTACGGCTGTGCCCCACATGCCGGTGGTGGTATTGGTTTGGAGAGAGTGTTGATGTTCTACTTGGACTTGAAGAACATCCGTCGTGCCTCGCTATTCCCAAGAGACCCCAGAAGATTGAGACCATAGGTTTGACGCAGTATATAGTCAATGTTGTACGAAGGCTGTATGCTACAGGTAGACTAAATGTTGTGCGGAGACGCAATCCTCGATTTTGCAAGAATTCAGGTACGGACCCAATGTTATACCGATGCTTAATGTGGCTCTTTTTTGCTAGAATCATCTGATAGAAGGAGCAAAGCTATGCAAATAATATATATAAAAGGCCTTCAGACAGTGCCAAGACTCAATTCCAAAGACAATCACGAAGACATTCACGAAGACATTCACGAAGACATTCACGAAGATATTCACGAAGACAATTACGAAGACATTCACGAAGACATTCACGAAGACAATTACGAAGACAATTACGAAGACAATTACGAAGACAAATACAAAGACATTCACGAAGACAAATACAAAGACAAATACAAAGACATTCACGAAGACAAATACAAAGACATTCAAGAAGACATTCACAAAGACACAAGACTCAGCACGCTGTGTTTCATTTATTACTTTCTACTTCAAAAACCTTTATACTGTACAAGAGAAGCGTGCCGGGGTGGCGCTGCGTCCAAGCTTCAGCCATCATTGCAGATGAAGGGAGACGACGAGCTTACTGGTTTCTGCCGGCGGTCCTCGGCTTCGCACGGAGGATGTTGTCAACTCTCAACAAGACCTCGGCGGCCTCCGACGCAGACGAGACCACGGCGCGCTTCAACTTGTACGACTCGACAATGCCCATGTCCCTCATGTCGGCAACCTTGCCCTCGTTCAAATCCAAGCCGGACGTGGTCATGCCGTTGTAGATGGCGGACCTCAACTTGGCAACCAATTCGCTCGAGTCGAAGCCGGCATTGTCGGCCAAGATGGTGGGCAAGGCCCTCAACGCTCTTCCAAAGGCCTCGATGGCAAGCGACTTCTTGCCCGTTTCGTTGGCCGCAGCCTGGTCCACGGCCTTGGACATGACCATCTCCGAGCAGCCGCCCCCCAACACGGTGCGGGTTTCTCTGGTGGTCTGGGACAACACCGACAAGGCGTCGTGCAAAGAGCGCTCGGCCTCGTCCAAGCCCTGTTCGGTGGCGCCGCGCAACACGATGGTGCACGCCTCGCCGGCAGCCACGCCGGAGAACTTCAAGAACGAGTCCTCGCCAATGAGGATCTCCTCGATGGAGTCGCAGGAGCCCAAGCGGACCAGGTCCGGGTTCTCGAAGGTGGACGCGACCTCGCCGCCCAAGACAAGGGCCAAGCGCTCGATGCCGTCGAAGTCCGCGTGCTCGATGGAGTTGATCTTGGCGTCGGAGAAGAGCTGCTCCGGGTAGTCGTAGATGAGCTGCCTGTTGATGAACACGTTGATGCCGAACTTCTTGATCTTGTCGACCTTGGCCTTCATCTTGAGCTTCTCGGCCTTCTCCAAGTCGGCCAACTTCAGGGTCGAGTCGACCTTGAACTTGGCGCCGAAGATCTTGACCTTGTCCGTGTCGAGCGACGTGTTGGCGATCAAGATGCGCGCGTTGCAGATCTTCTTGGGCTGGTTGATGCCAAACTTCTTCTGCAAGATGTAGCCCTCGTCCAAGTACGAGTCGGCCATCTTGCCCCCGGCCTGCTTGAGGATCTTGATGTTGCTCAAGTTGGTGGAGCCGTTCAAGCGCAACACCGCGTCCACGGCCAACTCCGCAAACTGGTCCTTGTCCTGGGACAAGATCTTCAGCGAGAGCGTGGTCTTGGCGATGTTGACCAAGTCCGCCCGGAACCGCGCCTTGTCCGTGGAGTTGTCCACGGCCACGCGGTCCAACGCCTGCACGGCCGTGTCGCGCGCGAGGCGGTAGCCCTCGATGATGGTCTGCGGGTGGATCTTCATGTCCACCAACTTCTCGGCCTCGCGCAAAAGCTCGGCGCCCAACACGGTGACGGACGTGGTGCCGTCGCCCACCTCGTCGTCCTGCACCTTGGCAATGTTCACCAAAACTTTGGCCGCCGGGTTGTCCAAGGGGATGGCCTTTAAGATGGTGGCGCCGTCGTTGGTCACGAGCGCCCTGTCGGCGTCCAGACTGGACTGCAAGAGCTTGTCCATGCCCTTGGGCCCCAAGGTGGTCTTGACCAAGTCGCCCACGGCGATGGCGCCGACGAACGCGGACATGCGCGCGTTTTCCGCGCGCTCCTCGGTGGCCTGGTCACCAAAGATATTGACCGACATGATGGATTCGGGTGGAGGATGGGTTTGGTGGTGTGGTGGAAGGGTGGTTTGATGGTTGGCGATCGCTGCGCAGGGCGGGCCGCGCGCACGACGCGGGGCACGTGATACAAGGTACGTGATACAAGGCACGTAATGAGAGTCACGTGACGGGCGCGGTCGTGCGCGCACCACCCGCCGCGCCTGCCCGGCAAAAACCCACGCAGCGCCTCCCATTGCACCCACAACACCCCAGCCGCCCACGCAGACCACCCCCCAAACACGCCGAGGCCGCCCGAAACCCGCCCCGCAAACCCCGCCCCGCGCCTCTGCCCCGCGCCACGTCCCCCCTGTCTTTTTCCCGCCGAAAAAACTCGCCCATCCCGCCCGCCGCCACCATGCCCTACGACCCCGAGGGCCCCGTGGCCAAGCAGCTCACGCCACTCCTCGTCAACGAGTTGACGGCCACGTTCAACATCCCCGACGACGCGCAGGACACCGCCGACTACATCAACATGATGATCGGCCAGAACAGGACCGCCAGCGACATCTGCGCCGAGGTCAAGGAGGTCGTGAACATCCCCATCGACGAGACGTTCATCGGCCGCGTATTCGAGGAGATCGGCCGCTTGGAGCTGCTCCAGCAGCAGATGTTCCAGGCGCCCCCTCAGCAGCCGCAGCAGCCGCCGCAGCAGCCGCCCGCACAGCCGTTCCAGCCGCCCGCACCGCACCAGTCCCAGCCGCAGCCCGCCGCGGAACAGCCGGCCGTGTTCCCGCCGCCGCTGGCCAGCAACCCCTTCCAGCCCGTGGCGCCGGCACCGGCGCCGTTCGCCTTGCCCACGGGCCCCGCGGCCAGCGCGTTCCCCGCGCCGCAGCCCGCGCCGCAGTTCCCCTCGGGCCCCCAGGGCCAGGCCAAGAAGGACGCGCACGTGAACTTCAGCAAGCAGACCACGGACGCCAGGCGCAGCGGCGGCGTGGCCAAGGCCGGCGGCCGCGCGCCCGGCCGCGGCAGCGGCGTCAGCAAGGACTACGTCAGCGGCAGCAGCAAGACGCCGAAGAAAAGCTTTGGCATGCAGAGCGCCGCCAACCTCCAGCGGGCGTTGGCCTTGGCGCCCGCGGACTCCGTCAACATGCAGCCGTTCACGCCGCGGCCGCCCAAGGGCCGCTGCGCGGACTTCCCGCACTGCCGCAACCGGGAGTGTGCGCAGGCGCACCCCACCAAGAAGTGCTTCGCGTACCCGAACTGCCCCAACGCGCCCGGCACCTGCGACTACTTGCACCCGGCCGAGGACGGCGCGTTGATGCAGGAGTTGGAGAAGACCAAGCAGCAGTTCTTGGACCGCAAGAACCAGAAGTTCGCGCCGCAGGTGACCTTGTGCAAGTACGGCATCCTCTGCTCCAAGGAGTTGTGCCCGTTCGGCCACCCGACGCCCGCCAACCAGGACGCCAAGGTCATCATCCAGAAGTGGTGCCGCGAGAACAAGGCCTGTCTGAACCCTGCCTGCGAGTACGCGCACTCGTCGCCCAACTACCAGGCCCCGGCCCCGGCCCCGGCCCCGGCCCCTCGGCCCGTGGTGCCCAAGTTCGCCTCCCAGCCCGCATACAACAAGTATACCAAGCGTACGCCCACCACCTTGGAACAGTGCAAGTTCGGCCTCAGCTGCACCAACCAGCTGTGTCCCAAGAGACATGCCACGTCGCTGGTCGCGTGCCGCGCCGGCTACAACTGCACGCGCATGGATTGCACGTTCAACCACCCGATCGACGAGGACTGCCGCTTCGGCGACGACTGCAAGAACAAGCCCTGCTACTTCCGGCACCCCGACGGCAGGGAAAAGGCGCTTTTCGCCGGCCACCCTGGCCAGCCCACCATGCAGCGTCCTTTCGCCGTTGCCGAAGACCAAGTGATGGAGCAGGCAACGCAGATCTGAGGCTCCCACTTTTATATATTTGACAAAAAAATTAAAAAAAAAAACAAAAAAAAAACAAAAAAGAAAAAGCAAAAGCAAAACTCGTGGCTCAATAACGGCCGGGATCAATCTATCGGCACGTCCATCATGGGGCCAGTCCATTTCCTGGTTCTCGCAATATGCTTCGGATAGCCACTTTTGACCTGATGGTGAGGATCCAAGGACGCTGTCCACATGCCTATAACCTGGCCATGAAGACCATGCCAGCCGAACAAACACTCAGCGCATGCCTCACACACCCTAGCAAACACCCCACGAGCACCTAGCGAAGACCCAAAGAACTGTAACGAACATCTAACGATTCTTCAACAAGACCTAACGATTTTCTAACGAACACCTAACGATTCTCTGACAAACACCTAACGATTCTCTATCCTAACGATTCTCTATCCTAACGATTCTAACGAACACCTAACGATTCTAACGAACAACGATTTTAACGAACACCTAACGATTTGAACGAACTACTATCGAACACCTAAAAAGCACCAATTGATCATGATCGAAAAAAGACCCATCTACGACAAAACAATACGTACCAAGATTAACGACAATCTGACTTCGCGTGTTCTGAAGTGGCCCGTGCCACATGCTTACGCAGACGGCCACGCTCATCCACATCGAACCTACAGTGCAATGTTCAAAGATATTACAGGAGTGTATTGATCAGGTCAACATACAGACAAGTAGTTTAGTATCTTCTCTTGGAGCCCTTGGCCTCCTCGGCGTAGGTGTCCAATGGAGAAGCGCCCAATGGCTTGACGTCCCACAAGTTAGGGGTCAAGAAACCGTAGGTGTTACCGATGGCAATGAAGGCAGCCTTCAAGGTGTTCTCGGTAGTTCTGGTGGAACCGGAAGAAGAAGTGTAGACATCCTCAACACCAGCCAATTGCATCAACTTCTTGACGACTGGGGAAGCAATGATACCCTTACCTCTGGCAGCTGGGATCAATCTCACGGAGACGGAACCACACTTACCGGTGACCTTACATGGCAAGGAGTGAGGCTCACCCAAGTTGGAACCCCAGTAACCTCTTCTGATTGGGATGATGGACAACTTGGCGATGATGATGGCGGCCTTGATGGCAGAGGCAACCTCCTTGGCGGTCTTGATACCCAAACCAACGTGACCGTTGGAGTCACCAATGATGACAACAGCCTTCATTCTGGTTCTTTGACCGGCTCTGGTCTGCTTTTGGACAGATCTGATCTTCATGACCTCGTCCTTCAACTCTGGGAGCAAGGCGTCGATGACCTGGTACTCCTTGACTGGCAAAGAGTGCAAGTAGATCTCCTCGATGGAGGAGATCTTGCCGGCAGCTACCAATCTACCGAGCTTGGTGACTGGGACCCAGGCCTTCTCGTCATCTCTTCTACCTCTCTTTGGGCCTCTTGGCTTTCTGCCGAATTCTCTCTTTGGAGCTGCTTGGGCTGGGGCGGACATGTCTGCTGTGTTTATCGGAATGTTACGTGGAAAGCCGGGGGGTTGGTTTTCGATCGATAAAACTGAGGAACAGAGTAGGCACTATTCGCCAGGCACGATTTTTTTTCTTCGCGCCTGTCCACTGGCATCGCGCGGCCGCGCTCGTGCGCCGGCACTGCTTAGGGCTCAAGCCCTCGGCGCACCACTGCATGCAGGCAGCCGGGTGATCCCGGGCTGGCGGCTCACCACCCGCGGAGCAATCGCAGCAGACGAGTCTGTGGTTGTGAGCCCCCCGATTGTGAGCAACGAGAGTGATGAGTGTATACATGGCGTTTGTCTCGCCACAACTCGGCCACGTGACTAGGGGTTCTTTTGGCGCCTTCTGTTAACCGCCGGGCCCCGGTCTGTAGCTGTCGGGAAAAGGGGGCAGAATCCAGAAAAACCACCGGACTGGATCTCTGTTTGGGGCGGGCGCTAAGCGCACACGACGCCAAAGGCCACAGCAACGTTCGTCACGTGGAAGCGGGAGGGTGTTCGGTGCGGTGCGCCTATCTGCAGGACAGCAAAGCAGGAATCCGGGGCGTGGCCAGGGGAGCTTGCTTAGCACGCACCACCCCCAGTGTTAAATTAGCTGCAGTTGGCCCTGGCATAACACCACCACCACATCTTTTTCCACATTACTTTTTCCACACATCTGAAAAAAGAACTATCTATTCGTCCTCACCACAGACCAATTCCCTGCACCATGTCATACGCCGAAGCCGCCGCATCCTCTGGCCCCGCCAATATCGAGAAGATCCCGGAGCCCGCAAAGCTCGAAAGAACATCGGAGCCACAAGGCTCCGTTGAGACTTTGGACGCCGAGGAGTTCGAGAAGCAGCGCCATGAAGCCGCCCGCGAAGTCGAGCGCGTGGCCGCCGACGCCGCCAAGGCCAGCAAAAAACAGGCCAAGCAAATCAAGAAAGAGTTCGACGAGATCGAGAAGAACTCCGCGCCATACTTGTCGCAGATGGTGGGTTACGTGAAGGAGAAATACGCTGCGCTCAGCTCTGCGCTCAGCTCCAGAGCCAATGCCGACTGTGCGTCCAGCGCTGCCGCCGAGCTCCAAAACCCGGTGGTGTTGTCGCAACTTGCGTTGATCGCGGGTGGAGCGACTGCTGGCTGGTACTTGTACGCCGAGCGTGCGCACATCCGGTCGGAGAACAAGTATGTGTTGGCCATCCATGCTGCCATTGCCACGGGCTTGGTATTGGGCGATGTCTACGTGTTCCAGAATTTGTACCCAAAGTACAAGAAGGCCTGAGGATCCTGGATCCTGGGAGCATCGAGCGCTCCGTAGTGCATGTCTCATAGTATAGAAAAATGAAGCGCCATTTCGATCGAATGACAATTTGTAGACGTGTGAAAGCGACTATCCGCACGGGCACTCCCGTATCCTTGCCAGTGGTGGGGCATGCTTCCTCTTCAAGATATCTTGGAGCTACACGTCATGGTTTCATCAACACCATTGTTTTATACTCATCAAAGTCATGTCAAAAAGGAAGGAGGAAGGCTCAATAGCCACATAAAACCTTAGACCGGATGCCGAAAACGCAGGTTTTGAAAAAGAGGCAATAAACAATACCATAGCCACCAAGGGCAACTACAAGAGCTTTTTCTCTCCGCGTCTTGCGAAGTTTGTTTTCCAAGAATACATTGTATTTCTTGAGTTATGGCTGAAATCCAATTGGAGACAATTAACCATGGCCCCATACAGCCACGCAAGCGTAGGCGTTGAAAGCCACTAAATCGTAAGACATCGGTCGCGAAAAAGACTCGAGCCTCCAAAACGGTAAACTAATTATTAATGTCTATAGTTGGACAGTAGTCTTCGAATTCTAATAGTGGTCTTGTCGACCGATAGCGTCCCACAAATATATAAGACTTGGTCTAGACCAATCAAATTGTTCACAACAATCATTGAACCCCTTTACATATTGTGCGATGACACGGCTTTACACTGCAACTGGGAAAACCTGAAGTTGTCCAATTGTTCCCTAATTCAATATTGTCTGCAGTAGACCGAAGGGAAGCACTCATAAACGCCGCTCTCCGAGGCCATACACCAGCAATGCTTCTTGGCGAAACCTTGCAGCCTCGGATAAATATCTATGAATACACAAAGTATCTTGGTTTGCACCTAGTTATGGATGTTTCTCTGTTAAGTAATGTGGGGTGATTTTCCAGCTCTCAATCCGGTGTGTTACATGCAAAAGCACGAAGATCCAATGCCTGCACATATTATACAAGATGACGAGTTTAGGCGCCATGCACTCGATGAAAAGAAGAGAATACGATTGCACGTATGGGCCATTAAATCAAAAAAACTCCTTGAATAAGGTCGTATATGGAAATATCTAGATAATCACTACTTTAAAAATAGCCAATGTCACCGAGACTAATGCACTACATGTGCTACAAGTTTGTGAATTCCTTAAATCTTAGCCAGGGCTCCTAATTTTACACTATTGTACGAAGACCCATGAGCGGTTTGATACATTCTATTTCTATGCCTACCCATCAAGGCAAGAGAAATAAGTGGCATGATTTTGCTGTTCCAGGTTCATGTATTCTTTAATTCCTTGGGACATGAGAAATTGTGTGGGATTACCCTGTCATGATACTTTGGTCAAACACACGAGAAAAGACAAAAGGTGACAAAGAACGTTTCAGCAGAGCATAGGCAACTTAGGTGGAATTTGGAGCTTTATAGAGCACGACCATCCTACGGCTGATAAATAAGGATCAAATGCAAATAGGTGTGGGGGCGTCGAGTCGTTTGTACTGGTGAAGATGGCTTTGGTCTGTATGGAAAGAAAAAACTTGGTCTCATATCGAATTAATTCCACAAGATGAGCAATTTCCACAAATCCGGTCCTCTCCAAATTAGACTCTCATACATCAATTTAAGCCTGGGCCACTTTCGGACTCCATGTGGCATGGTGCAAAATCAACAAAGTCCGCGGGCCCCATGTCGTAGTATATTTTTTATCTTCTATGCTTGACCCTTATCCAGAAAGCTGGTAACACATATTTATTGGTGTTCCTTAGATCTCGAATAAATTCATATTGTAGTTGCGAGACAGCAAGTGTCAGCCATCGATACCGTCTCTCCATCCGCGCGTGTTATTGAGATGTTTCTTGATCTCAATTCGCAGTCGCGGCTTAGCGAAGACAACACACATATATTTAAGTAGCCAAGCTCCCAGTTTCTGCTCCTTTATCCGTCTGATGTATCTGAAGACTTGACATAGCTTCTTGATCCGGAATACTGGTCCAAAAGCACCAAAAGTAGGTCATTTGAGATTTTACGATGGTGGCGTGTGTGCCGACTTTGGAAAGGTGGCCCCGAAATCGCTAGACTTTCCTCGAGTTCGGAGTGTGAAGAACGATGAGGTCCTTCCAAGCTGATAAAAAGTAACAAGAGATCACATGCTCTTGTCGCCAGCCTATATTTTCCCGCCAGTATGTTGAAAACAGGATTATGCGTGAGGATCGGGAAATATGCACGTGAAGCTTTCCCGTCTGGTCAGAATTTCAGAGAATTTCGAACTGGCCGGGATGCCACAGCTCAACCGACAGTATGCTCTGCTTGGTGCTCAAAAGCAAAACTTGGCAAGACATGATTTCCAGGCTTCATGATTCTTTTTGGAAACTTTGGTCCAATAGGGGCACCGGAGATTGGCGGGTCTGAAGGGGGAGCCTGGTATCCTGGATCATCAAAAAATTCGTTGGCCGGCTTATCTACAGGGCGGTTTTTTTTGCTTGGTTCGTAAAGCAAGAGTAAACTGCATAAGGAGAAAATCAGGCAAGACTCACAGAAGACATTCCGGTGTAAGGCGCGGCATTCTTCCTGGGGACGCGTTGCCAAACAAGAGGCTGGACAATTGAAGGCGGCGGCACGTGACCAGGGCATCGGGCCAGGCATGGCACGAGCCCCTGCAACAAATTTACCCGGATTGGGACAATACATTCCGCTGCTTGCCCGACGATAAAGCGCACCTGGTATGACGTACAAATTTTAGTCGCAGTCCCATCGGCACAACTTGCTCGCAGGCTTTAGGTCGCAGGAATTTTCGCCCAGGTGCCGGACTAGCCCAACGCCCCGGTTAAGGCTGCCAGGTTGAGTAATTTGCCAAAATGGCGAGGACAATCCCTGATACAAGCGCTGCGTCGCATGCTATACATCATGAGATTTTTGGCGAGGGACCAGGGCGCCCTGCTGCTCTGTGTGCGTGGGCTACAAACCAAGGACTTTTAGGCTCTGGCTCAGAGAGGTCCTTCTGGTCCGGCACTGCACACAGTGGCCGAGAACGGTGCCCTGGTCAAGACGCGATGCATACAGACCGCTGCCAGCCTATGAGGCCTTATAACCCATGGGGCCGCTGGCCGATCTGGCCGGGCTGTTCCTCCTGTGTTCTGTGCTTTTCCCTCCTTACCACATTTCTTCTGGACACAGAAAGCTTTTTCTTCAGGCCTGAACTCTAGTCTTCTCACCGGATCACTGACGCATCCAAGCAGACCTAGCATATAGTTCCAGATCCGCCGTTTCCCCCGATCACCTGCTATCCATCTATCCGGCCCGCCAGATCAGCCAGCAGACCGATTCCGTCATTGAAGCTCAGCTACTCACTGACCGCCTTTGTGGACAGACACCATTTTGTGAACACAAAACCCCTTTTTGCACCCATGAGCATATACGCAGCATCCGGCTTGTCCAAGCCGTTCGCGCCGAAGGAGCAGCCATTGCCCAACCCGGCGGGCCTGGCACGCAGACCCAGCCAATTGGCGTCCATGGTGCCCAGAAGGGCGCATTTGCCGCAGTCCAAGGCGCCGGCCGCGGCCGCAGAGAACGACCATGCGCCGTTGCACCGCGTGCAGCTGAACCAGCTGAACCTGTCGGCCAGCTCCGCGTACTCGGGCTACCGGGGCAACTACAAAGTCACGCGCGTGGCCAGCCGCACGTCCATGGCGTCGGCGCTCTACGTCAAGTCGCAGTACCGTGTCTCCTTAGACCTCTCAGCCAAGGAAATCTCGCTTTTGCGGTACATGTGGAACCAGATGCTTGGCGAGGAGCTGGCGGAGGAGAAAAGCGGCCGCCCCAGCTCCGCGTTGCCAATCCCGGGCTCGCTCTGGGCCCAGGCCAAGGAGAAGCCCGCGTCCAGCACGCCGCGCCATGCGCTCGGCGCGTCGTCCATGTTCTGCTCGCAGTTGTACCTGAACTTGCTCACCATGGACCCGGGGCTCGAGGTGGAGTTCCCGCTGCTCCGGCACCAGGCGGTATCCATGGCCGGCGTGCTTTCGCTCGCGGTCAACTCGTTCGAGAACTTGGCCCAGCTCGACGACTACCTCGTGGAGTTGGGCAACCGCCACTCGCGCATCTTGGGAATCGAGCCTGCGCAATTCGAGTTGATGGGCGAGGCGTTTATCCAGACGTTCCACGAGCGTTTCGGCACGCGGTTCACCCACGAGTTGGAGGTGCTCTGGATCAAGTTCTACATGTACTTGGCCAACTCGTTGCTCCAGTTCGGGCTCGACCCGGTGATGCGGCCCGACTACATGCACAACGGCCCCTACGCCGTGGCGGACCTGGCGGCCGAGCTGATCTTCACGGCGGAGTCCGACGACATCATGACTATGAACAACTCCATGCAACGCGAGTACACTGCGACGGACATGTCGTCGATGGGCTCCATGCCCAAAGCGTCCAGCTTTGCCCGCCACGGCAGCGTGGGCGGCACGAGTCCCATGGACAAGACGGGCGTGTCTCTGGTACTGGCGCAGGCGTCACAGCCAGCCCGCACCAAGAAGAAGAGAGGCCGGTTGGGGCGTGCCAAGGGCGAGTGCACGATCATGTGAGAGAGTGAGAGAGTGAGAGAATGAGAGAATGAGAATAAGAGAATAAGAGAATAAGAGAATAAGAGAATAAGAGAATAAGAGAATAAGAGAATAAGAGAATAAGAGAATAAGAGAATAAGAGAATAAGAGAATAAGAGAATAAGAGAATAAGAGAATAAGAGAATAAGAGAATAAGAGAATAAGAGAATAAGAGAATAAGAGAATAAGAGAATAAGAGAGCATCCCCATCTTTTCCAGCGAGGCGAGTGTTTTAGTCGTCATGGACTGAGGCATGCTAAAACCCGGGAGACTCTAGTCGCGATCTAAAGGCCGGCCTGTTTTTTCCTTGCAAACGTCCCCGAAAAATACACCCGCAAGCACCCTGCTCTGTGCAATTGCAATAAAGTAGATATGGGCTTGCCACACCTCACCCTGCACTCCACCAGGTAGGCCGGAGGTATGAGGGCATCGCCAGGTGGCTTTGGGCGGGCCGCGCAAACAGCCGCATCGGGCAATTCTCCAGACGCGACGCGTGCCCTCAACCAGAAACGGGCGCCGTGCAGGCACGGCCACTTGACCCGGGGCCACAGTGGCCCCAGATGGGGATGTTTGGTCTTGTAGCCCGAATGTATTTTTTGAACGTCCAGGTCCGGGCATTGCTGGAGAGACGTGTGTATTTGTACTTCCTTGGCGCCGAAACCCCGCAGCGGGCCGGTCTTGCTGGAATTGTCTTGCCTTAGTGTGCTGGAATTGTCTTGCCTCGGTGTGCCCAAATTGTCTTGCCTCGGTGTGCCCAAATTGCCTGTCTATTAGGGTCTGCTCTGTATTTTCAAAACTACCTCTATCAATTGTTTTTCTCTGGCGGCTGTTTAATTGTTTTTATATACTATCAAGAATCTTCCAAAAAAAAAATTCTCTGTGCCCTGTCTTTCCAAAACACCTCTGTCTTCTGTCTTTCCAAACCACCTCCGTCCTCTGTCCTTCTGAATTCTCGTCTGTCCCCCAGAAACCATTTTTTTCTTCCTTTCTGAAACCACCTTTCCCTCTTTTCCTTTCTTTCTGAAACCACCTTTCCCTCTTTTCCTTTCTTTCTGAAACCACCTTTCCCTCTTTTCCTTTCTTTCTGAAACCACCTTTCCCTTGTACTGCGGGCCCTGCCCTGGCCCCACTAGTCTGCCCACTGCCGGAACCATGTTCGCACATCCGCAGCCTGTGTTGCGGGCCCGCGCACAGGGCCACGTCCCATGGCGCAGTGCGCCCGCCACCCCGCGGCCCGGCGCCAGGCCCAGCAGACGGCCTCTCGAGAAATTAGGGGGCCCATGCAATTCCCCCACACGCTCCCTAAAACACGGCCCGGGCCCCGCATCCAGATGCTGCCGCCGGCGCGGTGACGGCCAGGCCGGCGAGGCCCAAAAAACACCGGCGAGGCCCAAAAAACACCGGCGTGGCGCCAGAACCACCAGCCCGCCCAGAACCACCGCTGCGCAGCCGGCCCCAGCCCAGCGCCGGCACTCCGCGCTCGCGCCGCGACACCTCATTCTGGCCCCGCGACACCTCATTCTGGCCCCGCGACACCTCATTCTGGCCCCGCGGGTCCCAGGCCCCGGCCCCGTGACTGAACTCCAGACATCGTCTTTCTCCGCACAGGGGGCTTGTGGGGTCCCCGGAAATCCGATTCCTGGCCCATGTCCTTGATGATCCACCCACATCACAAGTGCTCAGCTGCAATCCCAGTGACATGTCTGTGGTGTCTTTCCATGCCAAAAGGTCGGCCCCCGATTTCGCACCCATTCGCACCGCGTCGCAGCGGATGCCAGCGAGCGTGGATGTGCCGAGTTCTAGCACCAGCACAGTGCCGCCATTTTCAGCCCATGACAGAAAATAAAAGGGGGTTTCAACAGCCTCGCTGGCGGGACGCTCGAGGCCGGGATTTGTGTCCAGACTGGGCCCCGCGGCTCCCAATTCTGGCCCCACGACTCCCAACTCTGGCCCCGCGACACTCCATTGTGGCCCCGGCCCCGCCGCTTTCCTCGACCCGCGCCCACACCTCCCGCGCGCCGCATCAGACCGCGACCCGCCAGTCCCACCTTCCCTCCATCCTTCCACCCCCCTCTCACGGCTCGCCACACTCCCGCTGACCACCCGCCTCTCCCGCCCCAGCCCCGCGTGCCCTCTGCCAGACCCCCCTCCCATGTCTGGCGACGACGATATCGAGCGTGCGCTCTGGAACAACGACTTCTACTCGTCGCCGGCGGTGCTCACCGAGCTGTCGCTGTCGAGCCACATCACCACCCTCCGCCAGTCGGCCAACTTGCCGGGCTCGGCGCTGCTGCTGCTGCTCAGCGGGCACTTGGCCGCGCGCCTGTCCCCAGCCGCCGGATCCGCGCCCGAAAACGGCCCCGCGCGGCCCGCCAGCAGGACCTCCTTGATGACGGTGTCGCCGTCCATGAAGGCGCTTGAGATTGCGCTCAACGGGGCGCCCCGGCCCGCGGCCCTGCCGGAGGTCATCCGCGAGGAGGCCGCCGAGGAGGCCGCCGAGGAGGCCGCCGAGGACGACGCCGAGGAGGCCGCCGACAGGCCC